CAGCCTTCTGGCAGGAAAACTGGGCTCTGCATTCTTTTTTCTTTTTTTTTCAAGACAAGGTTTCTCCATAGCTTTTGGAGCCTGTCCTGGAACTCACACTATAGACCAGGCTGATCTTGAACTCACAGGGATACCACCTGCCTCCGGAGTGTTAGGATTAAAGGTGTGCACCACCACTGCCCAGCATATACCTTGCATCAGATATGTCCTCTTCTCAACTCTTCAGGTACCAAGCACACACATGGTACACACATATATATGTGCAGGAATACAGCAAATCCAATCTAGGAATGTATGAAGAGATATAATCTCTCTCCAGTGTTTACCCTGGGTATGCCAAGTAGGCTTACTACTTTAAAGTTAATATGGTACAGGCAATCTGTCCTCTGGCCTTGACATGCACAGTCAAGTATGCAAGCATACTTGCATACCTGCATGTGCACATACCTGCATGTGCACACATAAATATGTTGTCTGTTGGACTCCAAGTGTAGTCGTGTGACAGAGAGCAGTCTCGGAGATCTAGATTTAATCTCCAGCACCTTAAACAAATTAGAGACCTTAACAGAAGAGAGAGACACAGCCCAGCAAGAGCTCTAATCAGTCTTGCAGAGGACTTGGGTTTGGGTCTCAGCATTCACATCAGACTCAAAACTGCCTTTTCCAAGGCCTCCTGGCATCTGTGGGCACTGCATGCACACGATGCACATAGACTCACACAGCCCAACAATACACACGTTATAAATTACAATCAATTATAAATGCTTGGAAGGCTGCGGCAGGAGGACCACAAATCAAGGCAGCAGTGAACAAGAGTTTCAAAATAAACATACATCAACACAATTCCAAAACAGTGACGAAATCTTCCTTGCAGAAGTTACTAAAAATGAACCTTAGTTTAAAAATTAGAGACTGGAGAAATGGCTCACGGATTAGGAACGCTTACTGTTCTTGGAGAGGCTGTGTCAACTGCCAGCACCCCGACCCCTAGCACCTGTTCCAAGGATGGCACCCTCTTCTGGTTTCCTACAGAGGCACATGGTACACAGACGGGCAAAACACTAACACACATAGAATAAAAACCCAAAAGAAAAACATTTAATTACATTTATCACTTATGGTGGGTAATGGTGCTTGCTACCAAGCCGATGACATTCGCTCCTTGGAATCCACATGGTCGGAGAAATCTGACTCCTCCAAGCTGTCCTCCGACCTCCTCATGTACCGTGAAGATATGCACCTCAATCCCCAAATAAAAACACAGAAATTGAAAGAAAGTGGAGGCACAGTATTTAATGTTCTCCAGTGCTTCACAGGATGACAAACATGAGGTTACTAATTTGGCTGCGCCCACTAAGAACACATTCTCACAGGTTAGTTAGAGTGCCTGCCGGGAATGCACAAAGCCTATCCTGGAACGAGATAAATCAAGAATGGGGGTACATGCCCACAATCCTAGCTCACCAGTGGTTCCCAACCTCCCTTTAATACAGTTCATACGGTGGTGATCCCCAACCATAAAATTATTCCATTGCTGCTGTAATTTTGCTAGTTATGGAATTATAATGTAAATATCTGGTACACAGGATATAAGGTGTGAACCCCAAAGGGGTTGAGAACCACTGACTTAATGGAGGCAGTGTGATAAGAAGTACAAGACCATCTTCGGCTAGTGAGGTTGAGGCCAGCCTGGGATACATGAGACTGTCTCAAAACAATGAAATAAAACAAGGAAAAATAGTAATACAGGGTTGGAAAGATGTCTGTGGTTAAGAAAACTTATTGTTATTCCAGAGGACTGCAGGTTGAACCCTAGCACCCTCAGGCAGCTAGCTCACAACTCCATTGGGGAAACTGAACCATCTTTCCGGCCCCTGTGAGGAGACAGAGACAGCACACTTACTGACACACTGACATAAGGCTTCCAATGTTTTCTCAGCATTTACCATTAGGGACTTGTCACTGAGAGAGCCTTTGCTCACTGACATTTGCCTTCACTAAGAAGGTAACTTCAGTGTGCTAACAGCTTCACTAAAGGACCCTGTTACTACTGAGCTAAGTGATTATAAAACAAATACCTAGTTATTTAATGTTTACTATCTAAAATAAAACTGTACCAAATTAATTTAAGATTACATAATATAATTTAAATCAGACCACATTTAGGAAAACTTGATTTCTACATTTAAAAACTTATATTAACCAAGCAATTCAGGAATAACTATGACATAATTGCCCAGAAACACCATTTCTTTTATTTTTTGCACTATAGCATGTTTAATAGATGATCTGACCTATCATATTAATTTGGTAGCAGATGCTAAAACTTTTGTCTCAAACCAAAACAACCCCCAATGGGAAGGACGAAGTAAACAAAGGACCTAAATTTATTTAAATTTCTCTACCTTGCCCAGAGGTCCTCTTTTATGTTTGTTTTGAGACAGAGTTTCACTGTGCAGCCTTTTCTGGTCTCAAATTCAGCTGCCTGTTTCCCAAGAGCTGGGATTAAAGACAGACTTTAAAACAGCCCCACTGCTGGAGAGAGGATTAAGAGCACTTGCAGCTCTTGGAGAGGACTGGGGGTTGGTTCCCAGCACCCATATGGTAGTCCGTCTGTAACTTCTGAGCTCAGCTGGCACCAGGTACATATGTGGCGCATATACATACATACATGTAAGCAAAACACCAACTCGCGCAAAATAAAATTAAGTAAACAAATAATGCCCAAACCTAAACTTGATTTGCTATATCGAAGCAGGCTATATATAATCTGTCCCAAGACAAAAATCCTTAAACTGCACATTTCCCTATCATTTTGTAGCCGACAGAGGTAGAAATGGAAATTCCCAGAATCATAAAGTCGAACTGCTATTGTTTACAAGTAAAATGCCCACCCCCCCACACAAGAGAGCTTCTGCTCTAGCTTGCACGGCAGATTAGAGTGCGCAGCATAGAAATTACTGAGAAATACGCAGTAGTAGATACACCCCACCTGGAGAAAAGAAAACCAGTCCTGTTTTTTGATAATTTTATTTTTTTCTAATTTTGTAATTGTAATTTCCCATAGCACCTTGGCAATGTTGAAAACGAATACAAATACAAAGATGTTCATTTAACAGTTTATGCATGAGTATGTGCTATACCATTGGGGGATAGTTTTGACAACAGGGACAAATCTAAGCTACGGACAAAATAGAAGCCAGGTAACTGATTCTGACACCCCACTCCCCCACATTTATGATACGTCACTCAAGGGACACCTGAACCTGCTGAAAATACAAAACCAGAACAATGATGTGGATGTCTCTTTACAATACTAATCAGTGTTCTGTGCTATAGAACTGAAAACAGAATGCTTGGCCCACAGCTCACAGACATCTGAGCTGCACCTTAGGACTGCCTAATAAGACATAACAAATTGTTAGTTTAAAAATAAACATTAAGATATTTAGTAATCAGGTCACTTTTAAAAGAGATTTCTAAATATCCTCATTCAGCTAATAAAAACTGGAATTTCCATGCATGTTTTTTGAAAGCCCAGACTAGCTACTTAGTATATGCCAGAATCTAACGTTAGATTAATACCCACAAATTGTAAGGAAATATAAAAAATTAGAAAAATCCATCATATATTATATTTATATATATTTACGTATTAAAAAAACCCTCAAAAGGAATATACTGTTTGATTTTTATCTTTTCCATAAAAAGCCAGAATTGATACTCTTAAAATATGGTTAAAATATATTGCCAACACAAACATCAGGAACTGAACCCCAGTGCTGTTCATCAACTGTGTCAAAGTAAAAGCAGCGAACATTTAAGCCAAGAGACTGATTAGTAAGGCCACACAGAACTAACAAAACTAGACACAGTGCTCCTAACTGTTCAATACTTTCTTGTTCACTTTACCCTCAGTGAAAGACACTAACTTAATTCAATCCCCAAGTCTTTGAAAAGCAAATCTAGTTATTTAAAAAAAAAAGGAATGTAGAATATTGAAGCTACCTTAACTTTAAGAACTAAAAATAAATTAAAACTCTGCATATCATTGCATTATGCAAAATATGCAGGTAAGACAACAACAAACCCCTCAGCATTTAAAGGTCTCGTCTGTCTCCAAAATACAGTTAGGCAAAAATTTAGATAGATCTCTATTTTAAATGCCAATGACTATATTTGACAAAATTGAGATTCCTTAGATTAGAGACAGACATTTGACATTATCAAGACAGAAGACGAGAAGGTTCTGCCATGCCCCTCTGCGTACATTCTCTATGAAGCGCAAAGCCATGCCCCTCTGCGTACATTCTCTATGAAGCGCAAAGTGATGAACCTGTGGGATTTTGCTCTTTCATGCAAGAACCCTAAAATACACTTTATCTACTTTTGGCCTTCAACAATGCAAGAAAATGCTAAGCCATAGGGTAAAGAGAAAACTTTGATATTCAAATTCCCCCATCTCAAGAACCAAAAGTAGTTGAAACATTATGAACACCAATCCAATTGGCTTTAATAGTAACGATGGGCAAAAGTCAGTTTCACACAACTCACAGGCATCATCAAACCTAAATCTGCTGCAATAAAATAACTGCCAAATACACACTGTGACTATATTATATATATATTACAAATTTTCATTGCCCCCCAATCCCACATACACTCCCATCAAATGGGAGCTATTTAGAAGTACTGAGGGAAATTAAAAATCCTATGCTTTAAAAAATTTTTACACTCAGTATTTTTTCAAAAGAAATTCTTCTTGAATTTCATTCAGAACTTTGAGAAGTTAGGGTTATATGTCAGTGCAGAACACTTATGGGGCCTGTGGAAGGTCCTGGGTTCAAGGGCAGCACTGCAAAAACGCAACTTGCAGTGTTTTAATGGACTACCAGTAAATCACACAAGCTTACAAGAAATTGGAAACTACATCTGTGACACCTTTCAACAAAATATTTTTCATTTTAAGTGCAAAAATAAAGTTTATAATCTTTACCAAGTGATTTTTGCAAAATGTTTATTCTATTAATCCACTGCATTCATAGGATGTTAACACTTTAAATGTTTATAATTTCTAGGTAAACAGAACACTTTTATCATTGATGCAGCTAACGATTATTAATACTTTTAAAATGATCTAAAGATCTCCCAATTTTTAGTACAGGTAGTTTTATTGTATGCTCCATCTGGTAGATGATTAAAAAAATAGTATTTAGAAATAATTGTTTCCAACTGAGTAAATACACCATGTTATCAACCCACCAAATCAAAAGCGTTTGCCAAGCTGAATAAGTTACAACGAAATAATTCTGGGTTACACGAATCGTGCAGTGTTTTCAAAGCTTTTAAGAATTACCCACTAACACAAGTCTGACACATAAGAGTTAACACTACTTCAGAGATCCAAAGAAACTCAAGAAGAATTAAATAAGGCAAGGGCAAGAGTTGAAAAATGGAATGTTGACCATTCAAAAAGTGATCGAATAACTCAGGAACGACAAGCCCAAGTTGATGACCTTACTGAAGCAGTGGCTGCAAAGGACTCCAGCTGGCTGTGCTCAAAGTGCGGCTGCAGCAAGAGGCTGACCACGGAAGCACGGGAAGCCTTGCAGAGTGAAGTCACAAACAATGAAGGCAGTAGTCTACAGAACCAAGCTCTGCAAACTCTTCAGCAGAGGCTGCATGAGGTGGGTGCCACTCTGAAGAGAGCAGGAGAGCTACAAACAGATGCAGAGTGAGTTCACTGCACGCCTTAATAAAATGGAAGCGGAACATCAGAATTTGGCAGAAGCGGTTACTCTGGCAGAAAGAAAGTACTCTGAGAAGGAGGTTGATGAGCTCCAGCAGCAAGTCAAGCTACACAGGTGGATCTTGGAGTCTTCTAAGCAGGAATTAACTGACCACAAGCAGAAAGCTACACAATACTCCAGTCTAAAGAAAAATTGATAAACAGTTTAAAGGAAGGCTCCAGTTTTGAAGGCCTAGACAGCAGCACTGCTGGCAACATGAAGCTAGAACTTCGGCACGAGAAGGAGATGCAAAAGGAGGAGATCCAGAAGCAGATGAGCCACATACTCAGATCAGTTGAGATCTGAGTTGCAGGATATGGAGGTTCAGCAGGTTGGTGAAGCAGAATCAGCAAGAGAACAATTACACGATCTGCAAGACCAGATAGCTAGGCAGAAAACCTCTAAACAAGAGCTGGAGACAAAACTGGACCAGATAAAACAGGAATTTCATTACACGGAAGAAGATCTGCATGGAACAAAGAACACCCTGTAAAGCACGATTAAGGATTGAGAGGAACCAGCTTACCAACAAAACTTTAAGCAACAGCAGCCAGTCGGAACTAGAAAGCCGACTCCATCAGCAGACAGAGACACTCATCCAGCAGCAGACCATGCTAGAGAACCTCAGCACAGAAAAGAGCTCCTTAGTCTTCCAACTAGAGCACCTGGAGCAGCAGGTGCACTGTCTCCACCGGATCCTCCATTACCATGTCTGGAATTGACAGTGGTGAAGGGACACGCCTGCGAAATGTTCCTGATCTTCTTAGTAACACAGAAACTAATCTGGCAGGAATGTATGGTAAGCTTTGCAAAGCTGCTAGCTCCACTGACCAGTTTCGTATCCGCCTGGGAATTTTTCTCTGAAGATACTCCATAGCATGAGTGTTTGTAATTATCTATATGGCTTTGCTTCACCTCTGGGGTCATGATTGTCCTGCTGACTTACTCACCAGAAATGCACCATGACCAACCGTATGGCAAGAGAACTGAGCCATTGGTTCCCAAGTGCGCCTGCTGTTGTTCAGAGCTAGAATCTGCAGAGAGACCAACGTCTAAGACTGCTCAGAATAGTGCACAAGATGGTTTCATCATGGAAAGCTTTTAATTTTATTACTCTGGTGTCTGACTCTCCCTTATTTCCATGAGAGTCTCTAAATACAGACAGTAATTTGACAAATTCAGCTCTGCTTTTTCTGAGTACAACTGCCCTAGAAATGGAGAGAGAGAGAGAGAGAGAGAGAGAGAGACAGAGAGACAGAGACAGACACACAGACACACACAAACACACACACACACCTGGGGTGGTTGTTCTGTAGAGATTTTTCTATTGTAGGTGACACTGATTATGGGTTATAATCAGAGAAACTAATTGTATTTAAGAATAAATATAAAATGATTTCTTTTTAATAATAAAAGAGTTGGAAGGTAAGTTTCACAGTAATGCAATTTTAACTTCCATTTACATATATTACTATGATGTTTATGTCACAATGGTGCTTTCCAGTGCTCACAACTTACAATTTCAATTTGTACAAACATAACTCACTAATAGAAGGGACAGTTCTTACTATTATGAACTATCCCTAAGCAGAAAATAAACCACCACCCTACATAAAACTATAAAAAGGCTATGACTTAAGACAGATTAATGCAACATGGTTTTTCATATTTGAGCTGTTTTCTAAATACCAGCAGGTAAACTTTCCTATTTAATATATGACAGCTACAACTTTCACTGAGAAATTATGCATTTATTTTCTTCAACCACTTTTCTTGCTTTATCTCAAGTTTCTCGACTTGCTGTTTTTAGTCAATGAATTCCAAACTGTATTTTTTAGGGAAGGAGGGGAAAGAAAGATGATAAACACTGTAAAAAGAAAAAGAAGTCCCCCAAATTAGATTTTGAAATTTTTTCTTTTATACCACTTAAAAAAATCAGTTACATTGTCTTTCTTATATATTTTTAATTTCTTTGGAAGAGGGTCTCTCACTAGGTAGTCTTGGATAGACAGGATCTCATGTACACCAGGCAGGCATAGACCTCAGAAGCTGGGATTGGAGATGTACGCCACCACACCCAAAAGCATTCTGCTTCATTTTTAACACCAATACAAATAAATTAATGGCAGGCCAGCACCATCCTGGGATCTAAAATTCAAATTGCTTTAATAGAAGAATAAAATCTTTCAGTAATCCATTATAATGTTTAGGATAGTTGTATGATTTGATTAAATTGGTCAAAGTAGTGAGAAACCACAGGAAATGGTTGGTTATTTTGCTTCTGGGGTTGAAGAGTCAAAGAACAGAGACTAACAAGTAAGAAAAAAATTTGTCTCCCATTTTAAAGAGAAAAGTTTTTTAAAAAAAGTCACAGGGCAGTTTGAACCTCTGAAATCTATTTGACCTATCCAGTATTCCGGTCTAAAACAGAAATTTTCTATTGTTTTTGAATAATCTCTATTCTTCTCTTGAATATCAAACTGATTGGTAGTCACAGCTTCACACACAATCAAGCTTAATAGCTAGCTCAATACAATACAATATTAGTAATGTCAAAAAACAAACTAAATTCCAAACTACAAAAGTCTACTCAAGTATTACATTCAGTTTTTAAATCATTTACTAACACGACAACAGATTTGGCTTCAATCACTTTGCACACACTCACACCCAGAACAGATCCCCAGCCACTGATCTGCTTTGCAACACAAGGCCATTTGTCAGAGACGGAATTCTTCAAGCCAAACTTTAAATAGATTAAAAAAAGTAATTTCTAATTTTTACAGAAATGTTTCTTCAAAAAATATTTTCTCTCACTCCCTCATCTCCTATACTGAAGGATGTATAATGTTTTTTTGTTTTCTCTCCCAAGCTAAATCTGAACCTTCAAAATTGATTCCAGGCAGAAAATCCCTGCAAATTAAAATCAAAAACAAAAATAGAAAAATTATATTTATATATATGTGTGTGTATATATATATTTATATATATTTATACTGATTGGAATCCTCCAGCATTTGAAAATCATTTCGAGATGAATTTTGGGTTCCTCTTACAATTCCAAAATCCATAATGTTTAAGGACATGCTTCCCATCTTTCCTGGCTACTTCCTTCCCCCCCAAGACAGTTCAATATAGGCTCAAGTTTAGTGGGAAGAGAGAAGTTTCTGAGTAGCTTCTGTTACGGTTGTGTTTTACTTTGGTGATCTGGGTGGCACAAACTGCTCTTTCCCGTTACGTCGAGTCACTCCCTGAGGTATAGCCCTATGGCTAAACTGTCGTCTCTGTTCCCTGATTTTTCCAGCTGCTCCCCTGGGAATGGCACTGCCGCGGAAGCCAGAATGATCCTTACTAGCCCTTGTTTCTGGTTTCTCATATGTTTTTTCAACAGGCTTCTCAGGAGATCCATTCTCTTCATTTCTGGTGGGAGACGCAACATTGGATCTCAGTTCCCGTAGTGGCTGGACAGGAACTGGACATGGCTCTTTAGGAGGCTTCTGACACACCTCAGCATAACTTAACTTTCGAGGTTCCTATAAAAAGATAACAAATTACGGAGTATATTTCTCTGAAACATAAATTATTAGCTTTAACCAAAGGGACAGTAAAAGTTAGTGTCTAGGAAAATATGTACTCTCGTGTATACTTAATATACAGTATAGTTAATGCCTTTAGAATTTCTCTAAGATTTCTTAAAATTATTAGGATGATGATGTTTTTCGAGATAGGGTCTCTCTATGTAGTTCTGGCTGTCTTAGAACTCAGCTTTGTAGACCAGGTTGGCCTTGAACTCAAAGATCAAAGATCTACCTGACTGTGCCTCCCAAGTGCGATGATGAAAGGCATGCACTATCACTGCCCAGTTATCATTATTTTTGTGTATGTGTGCATGTCATGCAACACGCAACAGTTCACGTGGAGTTTAGAGGACGATTTGTATGACTTAGTTCTCTCTTGACACCATGTGGGCTCCGAGGATCAAATTCAGGTAGTCAGGCGGATCTCTGTGAGTTTGACACCAGCCTGGTCTACAAGAGCTAGTTCCAGGACAGCCAGGGAAGAGGGTGTGTGAGGGTGTGTGTGTGTGTGTGTTAAATTCCTACCACTGAAGAACAGGCTAAACTATATAGCTGTGTGTGTTGTACTTGCTTATGTCTGCTTGAGAAATCCAGAGAATGCAGAGTATCCCCCATTGCACTGCACCTTATTTCTAGAGACAGTGTCTTACACTGAACCTAGAAGCCAGCAAGCCCAAGGTCCTCCAGCACTGACACTCTAAGCATGTACCACTGCACCCAGCTCAGTGGGTGTGGGAACCCTAAACTTAGATCCTGAGTTTACTCAGAAAAGCACTTTAGTCACTGGACCATCTCCCCAGTCCCTAAAGATGAAATTAAACAACTCCACTGCTCTCAACACACAAAGCTTCTGTGTTATTCAGAAGCCTGCTCCTGGGTTCAGGGAGCTGGAAGAACAGCAAGGGACATGACAGGACACTTAATCTGGCCATAGCCTCCTCTAGCCCCAGGAAGGAACCGCCACACTAGCTTACATTGCTCATCCCAGTCCACTTATCAAGTTGTAGCTTCCTAGCTCACCCATGCTCCCCTCACAGCTTCCTGTAGCAGCACTCACAGAACAACAGGTACTAAGTCTCTCTCCGGCTCAGCTACAGAGCCAAGACTTCAGCCTGGCACCCAGAAAACTACTGTAACTTGGGTAGACTGGGTATAGTTGCACACACCTTGAATCCCAACACTTGTGAAGCAATGGGGCGTATCTCTATGAATTTGAGGCCAGCTTGCTCTACACAGAGTTTCAGAACAGCTAGGGATACATGGAGAGAACCTGTCTCATCGCTGCCTCCCCACAAAGAACTTTGGGAGAAATAGGTACTATTACTCTAATACGATTACTGAATTACAAGATTACTCAACCTATTAAAGACAGCTCCTTTAGGGGAGCTGGAGAGATGGCTCAGTGGTTAAGAGCACTGAGGGCTCTTCCAGAGGTTCTAAGTTCAATTCCCATCAACCACATGGTGGCTTACTACCATCTGTAAAATAAGATCTGGCACCCTCTTCTGGCCTGCAGGCACACATGCAGACAGAAAATTGTATATAACAAATAAATCTTTTTTTTATTTTTATTTTTTTTAATTATTATTTTTTTATTTTTTTGGTTTTTCGAGACAGGGTTTCTCTGTAGCTTTCAAGCCTATCCCTGGAACTAACTCTTGTAGACCAGGCTGGCCTCGAACTCACAGAGATCCGCCTGCCTCTGCCTCCCGAGTGATGGGATTAAAGGTGTGCGCCACCACCGCCCGGCTTTTTTTTTTTTAAAAGACTTCAAACTCTTTTTTTTGGGGGGGGGACGACGATGACATAATCTCACTCTAAAGCCCAAGCTAGCATCAAATTCACTCTGTAGTTATGAGTAGCTTTTATTTCAGAGAGATCCTTCTGCCTCAGTCTTCAGAGTGATGAATTCCAGTTATACACCATTATGCCTGACCTCCCTTTTATAGTATACAATAAAAATAAAGCAATACAGCAGTCCTAATCTGTAATACTCCCAAATGACTGTGCTCTACCAATGTGTTATGTGAAAAGGCAGTTTAAATTTCTCTGCATAGCCTTGTCTATCCTGGAAATCACTCTGTAGACCAGGCTAGCATTGAACTCACACGAGATCCTCCTGCCTCTGACCTACAGAGTGCTGGAATTAGAAGTGTGCACCACCACTGCCAGGATATTTAAAAAGTTTTTAAAGTACATTTTATTTATCGTGTGTGTGTGCAGATAAAACTTGTGCCATGGTGGGTGCATGGTGGTCAGAGGACAACAACAGCTTGCTGGAGTTGGTTGTCTCCTACCAAGTGAGTCCCAGATGTTAAATTCAGGGCAGCATAGCATCAGGCACATTTACTCACACTAAGCCACCTTGCCAGATCTGAAAAAATAAGTTTTCTCGTCTACCACATTGTATTTTTTTCTCATATGAACTATTCAACTTACCTGTAGATTCACAGCAGTGGGTGCACTGATGTTACTATTGCAAGGTGAAGCAGTGTCTGCCCTTGATGGCTTTATAGTAGCTGGAGAAGAAACTGGTACGGTCATCTGACTGAGAACATCCTTTGGAACTGTAGAATCCTCCAGTTGATCCTTTTCTTGCTGAGTTGTGCTGAACAAAAAAAGTGATACTAGGGTTAATTTAATAAACAGGAACAGCTGAGCTACTGCTGAAAACCTTTTGCAAGAAACTGAGTGGTGGCCCCTGGCAGGGAATCCAAACTCCAGTAGAAGACCTACCAAACTCATGTCATATGAGCAGCAGTACTGGACTCAGAGGATTATTAAAAAGAAAAAAAAAAAAAAAGAAAAAAGAGCTGGGAAAGAGAAAAAGAGGGGTAGATATGATCAAAATATATAAATGAGACCCCCCCCAAAAAAAATACAAAATACATGAAAAAGAAAGTCCCAATTTTAGTTTTATCCAAATGTTTACTTTTTACATTTGGTTTGATCTGACGGAGTCTCACTATGTAGTAGCCCTGGGCATATTTGAGCTCTCTATGTAGACAGGCTAGCCTAGAACTCAGAAACCTACCTGCCACTGCCTCCCAAGTTTTGGGATTAAAGGTATGTGCTATCACATTTGGTTTATTTAGATGTATTTTTTAACTTTTATTATTTATTTTTTATGTGGATGTGTTTTGCAACCTGTATGGAGAGGTGGCTCAGAGGTTAAGAGCAATGACTGCTCTTCTAAAAGTTCTGAGTTCAATTCCCAGCAACCACATGGTGGTTCACAACCATCTGTAATGAGACCTGGTGCTCTCTTGAGGAAGAGACCTGGTCAGTCGTCCTCATAAATTTAGACCGTGAAACCCAATATGAACAAGTTCATCAGAACTACCATATACGGGCTGTCCATGCATGCTTCAGCATTGCCAGGGCATAAATTTCAAATTTCAGGTTTTGTATCACATGTGTGCCTGGTGCCCAGAGGTCAGAAGAGGGCATCAGATCCTCACTAGAGTAGGTTGTGAACAATGAATGTATGCTAGCAATTGAACTCCAGTCCTCTGTAAGAGCAACGAGTGCTCTTAACTGCTGATCCAATTCTCCAGCCAAGGATTTTTTTGGTTTGCTTTATCGAGACAGGGTTTCTCTGTGTAACAGCCCTGGATGTCCTGGAAGTAGCTCTTGTAGAGCAGGCTGGCCTTGAACTCAAGAGATCCACCTGCCTTGGCTTCCCGAGTGTTGGAATTAAAGGCATGTGCCATTACTGCCCAGTGGATTTGGTTTTTTTTTTTTTTTTTTTTTTTGGTTTTTTGAGACAGGGTTTCTCTGTGGTTTTGGAGCCTGTCCTGGAACTAGCTCTTGTAGACCAGGCTGGTCTCGAACTCACAGAGATCCGCCTGCCTCTGCCTCCCGAGTGCTGGGATTAAAGGCGTGCGCCACCACCGCCCGGCTTTGGATTTGGTTTTTGTATGTGGATATTTGTCTGTGCTTATATGTACACAAGAGTGAAGCTACCCTCAGAATCCAAATGAGGTTATTGAATTCCCTGGAGCTAGAGTTACAGACAACTGTGCATTGCCTGACATAGGTACTTAGAAACCAAACTCAGCTCTTTCACAAGTATGTGCTCTTAACTTCTGAGCAATCTTACCAACTCTACCCCCAACCCTTTGAGAAGGGGTCTCCATATGTAGTCAAGGCTAGACTTAAACTTTTAATCCTCTTTTCTCTGAATCCTAAGGGCTAAGATTACAGCTAGGCATTACCAGAGTAATAAAAAGTTAATGTTGAAGTTCTCTTACTGTGAAAAAGAAAAAAGTACCTTAACACAGGAAGCTCAGTTGGACACGAAGGACCGGGACTTCTGCTGAGTTGCTGGGCAGAAGCACTGTCTGCCTGATCATCCTCTGCAGGAACTGGGCAACTAACTCTCAAGTCTTCATTGTCCTAAAAGTCGAAAGAGTTTGAAAACACATTTGAACATTTTTTTTTTTTTTTTTTTTTTTTTTGGTTTTTTCGAGTCAGGGTTTCTCTGTGGTTTTGGAGCCTGTCCTGGAACTAGCTCTTGTAGACCAGGCTGGTCTCGAACTCACAGAGATCCGCCTGCCTCTGCCTCCCAAGTGCTGGGATTAAAGGCGTGCGCCACCACCGCCCGGCCACATTTGAACATTTTAATAAAGAAGATAAACAACTGTCCAGCAAGTACTGAAAGTATGAACAATTCAACCGTAAATAAGACTGCTTTATACTATAATAAAGAGGTGTTCAAGAGCCGGGTGCGGTGGTGGCGCACGCCTTTAATACCAGCACTCAGGAGGCAGAGGCAGGTGCACCTCTGTGAGTTCCAGGACAGCCAGGACTACACAGAGAAACCCTGTCCCAAAAAAACAAACAAAATCTAGCAGTTAAATAAACAGTTATTATATGACCTTTCAACCAATTCTATTCATGCTACCTAAAAGCAATAATATAATAATAACAGGGACCAGAGAGATGGCTCAGTGGTTAAGAGCACCAGCTGCTCTTCCAGAGGTCCTGAGTTCAATTCCCAGCAACCATATGGTGGCTCACAACCATCTGTAATGAGATCTGGCACCCTCTTCTGGCGTGTGGGCATGCATGCAGGCGGAATGCTGTATACATAATAAATAAATAAATCTTAAAAAAATAATAATAATAAAGTGTCAATGGGGCTGGAGAGATGGTTCAGAGGTTAAGAACACTGATTATTCTCCTAGGTCTTGAGTTCAATTCCCAGCAACTATATGGTGGCTCACAACCATCTATAGTGAGATCTGGTGGCCTCTTCTGGCCTGCAGGAATACATGCCAGCAGAACATTGTATAAATACATTTTTTTAAATGTGCCCAAATAACAATGAAATTTATCTTACATAAGAAAAGGTCTAGTTAGGCATTCTGCCATACTTAGACTACAGGAAATTTCATGAAAATAATCTTCATAGCATCATTTACATGAGCCAAAAAAGGAAACCACTCAATGCAAATCAAGTGGTAAATGTATAAACATAGCCAGGTATGATTCAAAGAACATGAACCTTGAGGACACTCTGCTAAACAAAATAAGCCATGTCACAGAAAAATAAGCAGTGTATGATTTCATCTGAGATACCTACAAGAGTCAACTCAAAGACAGAAAGCAAAAGGCTTGTTGCTGGGGGTAGGGGGGAATAGCTGAGCACAAGGGCTGACTCTACACTCCAAACACCTGAGAGGCTAAGGCAGGATCACCACAAGTACAAGGCCAGCCTGATCTACTCAGTGAGCTCCAGCTTAGTATATGCCACAGAAGGTGATCCTGCCTCAAAAAAAGAAAAAAAGAAAAAGAAAAAAAAAAAGGAAGCAAAACAAGGGCTGGAGAGTTGCTTCAGCAGGTTAAGAGAACAGGCTTAAATTCCTTGGCATCCATGTCATCTCGCAACTGTATTAAAATAGTTAACACAGTAAATTTTTTGTTTGGGCCCACCAATCACTCTGCTGCTGGGGCCATACTGATCTGGGCGGCCTTTACTGCCACCTGGGATCATGGTGACAACCAGACCAGGATGCTGCCAAGGACCATGTCAGAGTCTGTGGTCTTACTGTGGCTAAGGTCTATGCTGATATTTGATGCACCTGTTACCATCGAAGGTCATGCAGACCCCCGAGATAGAAGGCCATGTTCATGTCTCTAGGTCATACTGCTGCTGGGGCAATGGTGACACCCAGACCTAGCTGCTGCTTCCATGGTCCTACTGTGGCTGGGGTCTGGGCTGGGTTCTGTATTGCCACCGAAGGTTGCACATAAAGGCCCAGGGTTAGGACCACAATCTGAGGCCTTGGTGGTGTCCAGCAGTCAATCCAGACACCAGAACAATTCCCACCAGAGTGACCTTTCCTTCACCCAGAGGCAGGGTGTCATCCATGCCAAGATGCCACCAAGGGCCATGTCTGGATGCATGGACCATTTATATCTGGGGTCTGTGTCACCTCAGAAGACCTAGGAACCATGCCAGATGAAATCAGAGACCATGCTGAGCTGGCACCACCATTTGCTGGCCTTGCCTCTCACTGGACATTATAGTAAGAGAGCTGGCCCCTGCACGAAGGCTAGCCGGCCCCCACTCCTCACTACAGGCCAGGGTGAATAGACTCTTAGGGCATGTAAGCAGGGGAGCTGACTCTACTTCCTCACCTGAGGTGGGTGGTCCCACAGCCACAGGATATTCTAGTTCTGGTGAGGATCCAGTGATGATGGTGTACAAGAAACCAGAGGACTTGAACCAGACCAGTGACTTCGTAGCAATGAACATTTGACAGTAAAACTGATGGAGTAAAGGGGTATACTAAATGGCATACTGAAGCCTCCAATGTCAGCAGGATGAATAAGGTGTTGGAGAGGCAGGAAAGAAGGAGAAGCAAAGGTATTTTTCTGTTGTTGGTTTTTGGAGACAGGGTTTCTCTGTGTAACAGACCTGGCTATACTAAGAATTCACTCTGTAGACCAGGCTGGTCTTGAACTCACAGAGATACACCTGCTCCTGCGTCCGGAGTGCTGGGATTAAAGGTGTGCGTGCGGCACCACCATCTGGCCTCTGGCCTCGCTTTGGATTTTTTTGTTTTGTTTTTGCTTTAGTTTGTGTGCTTGCTTACTTTATTTCCTGTTGAAGGGGGTGCAGCAGGGATGAGGGGAAAATATGGGAGGACCAGGAGGCAAGCAGAATTGGGGTGCATGATGTGAAAATCCCAAAGAATATAAAGAAGTTAAAAATAATAATAATAATAAAAAATCTGTCAACTTGGGTAAAAGGGAAGCAAGAAAATTGTCACTACAAAATCAAAATAATGCTTTTAAGTAAGAAGACAGAATAAGAAGAATAAATAAAGAGGGAATACACATGTTGCTGCTAAAATACCGAGGTGTTTCCAACCCACAGGTGTACAATGGGATTATGGGGAGAAGCACACATCACTTTCAAAATGTACATACATGCCAGTTGTGGTTGAAAAGACCTGCAATCTCAGCACACGAGAGTTGGCGGCCAGCCTGCAGTAGATGGCTACTTTATGTGCCACTGAAACCATGACAGGTTCTAATTTTAATACAGTTTAATTAGATTGTGCAGTACAAAAAGAATATACTTCCGAACTGCTGAAACAATTACACTGTTTTCAAATACATAAGTATGTAGGTATGTATGTATGTTTTTTCAGGGTTTCTCTATGGATCCCTGGCTGTGCTGGAATTTACAGAGATTTGCCTGCCTCTGCCTCCTGAGTGCTGGGATTCTAGGTGTGCAGCAAGCACCACACCCTGGCCCAACATATTTTTAGAGATATATTTGTATTACTTTTAAAATTACGTATTTGTGTGTAGGTACTGCATGTGAGTGAGATGCCTCAGAGGCCTGAAGTATCAGACTCCCCTGGATATGGAGTTACAAGTGGTTGTGAGCCACCATGTGGGTGCTGGGAGCCAAACTCAAGCCCACGGTGAGACCAGTAGAACTCAACCACTGAGCTATCTCTCCAGCATCATTTTAAACAGTATTTTTAGTAATAGGAAACAGCAAAATACCTTTATTCTAAGGGGAAATGATTTGATTGAGAACTATACCCAGAGAAAAACTAATCAAATATGAGAGAAGAAAAACATTTTTAGATAGGAAATGTGTATATAATCCTCCTTCCTTTCTAGACTATGTGAGCCTAACTATTCTGCTCACCAGTCCTCCCCCTCCTACCATTCTTTATTATCTCCCTCTTCTACTCATCAATTATTTAATTCTTCAAGATAGGCTTTCTCTGTGTGTAACCATGGCTGTCCTTGAACACAGATACCTGACTCCATAGTGCTGGAATGAAACATCCTGGGCAATTCATTTTTAATACTTTTTATTTTATGTGTTTGGAACATCATTATACCCTCCTCCTTTCTTACCGCTGTTTAGTATTTCCTCTCTTGTACCCCATTTTTCTTATAGTCTCTTTCCATCTTTCCTTTCCTAATTACTTTTAGTCCTTCCCTCCTGATCCTTGTATTGCTCTGCCAACTTTAAAATCTAAAAAGGAGGAAATTTACACTTAGGACTTGTAACCCCAGCACTCAGGAGGATAAGGAGAAGATTCACTGTGCCAGATTAGCTGGTTCTACACAGCAAGTTTCAGGCCATCTCCGTTAGTCAGGCAGGCAGGAGCACACAGAGGCACCTTTCCTAAAACCCCAAAAAAGGGCTTGGGGGGGGGGGGGCATAGTGGGTAAAAAATTACAATGCAAGGCTGACACCTTAAATCTGACTCCTCAGAACTCACACAAAAATAGCTGCAGTACTGTGCACATGAATGAATCACCGTGCAGATGAGAGGTGATCAGAAGGAATACTGCAGGTAGTGAACGAGAGAGACCATTTGAAACAAGGTAGAATAAGAAACAAAGCTATGATCTAGTGCTCTCTCACAAATGTGAGTACGCGTTCTCTCTCCCTCTCTCTCTCTCTAGCATGTGCGCTCCACCCTCAAAACCTAGGCTGGAGGCCACCACCACCACAGAAACCAAGTCTACCTGGTAATCCCTTTTACTTGGTGTATTTTATCACCAACGACAACCCTATCTGTAGCATGTGAATTAGAAATACAGAACTAACGAGGGGGGAAATGTCAAGTAGAATGTAGTTTCAGAGACTGATGTTCTGCATTTTAGGCTACAGTATGTCTATGTACTATTATAACTAATAGCCACATTAGGACTAGGGCCTCAGTGGGTAAACCTGCTCGATGCACAAAGCTGGCGACCTCAGTTGACCCCTGGAACACACAGTGGAAGGAAAGAACTGACTTCTGAAAGTTGTCCTCTGAGCCCCGTATATGTGCCTTCTCCCACAGACTTATATACACATACACTAAGAAATTAAGGTAGAAGACAAGAAAAATTTATGAGATCTGTGATTCCAGATATGGAGAGAGGCCCATACTCAAAAATAGTGCCAGACATTGTGGACATGCCTACAATGCCAGAATCTCAGCACTGGGACAGCTGGGGTAGGAGAATGCCTGGGCTATGCAGCAAGACTCCCCCCCAAAAATTGGTTGGCATCTACTTAGAAAGTCTGAATTTACCAAGTTATCTTAGAATTTATTACATCGCTAGCTAAATATAGGCACTTTTGTGGAAATGACTCTTCTTTTCTCCATTAACATAAGCTACCAAACTGAGCTGACCTACACAAAAACCAAGGGACACTTCCTTGCTACTTGGAGTTTTATAATACATCTTTTTAAAACTCTCAAAATATGGTGAAAATTCTAATAACTGAAATTATAAAACAAATAATTAAATGCAAGTGCAAATTTATATAATAGCCCTGATAAATATAAATATAATCCCAGACAGTGAAAGAACAGATGGGACACTTCAGTGTTTGTTTACCTTTTCTTTGTAGACACCTTTAACAACATCAGACATTCTATTCTCCAGAACAAGCTCATCTGGCATTCTTGACGAACTTCCAGGTAAGGGAGGAAAATTTGTAGCTAGTAAGTCAAACTTTGGTGTTGGAGCCTTCACTTCAGTTGTTGAAGGCTGAGGTCTCTATAAAACAAACGGTTAAACAGGTCATGTGCCTAACATTTTCTCTACTCCCAAAGCTGTAAGAAAAGCAGGACTTCGCCGGGTGGTGGCGCACGCCTTTAATCCCAGCACTGGGGAGGCAGAGGCAGGTGGATCTCTGTGAGTTCGAGGCCAGCCTGGTCTACAAGAGCTAGTTCCAGGACAGGCTCCAAAGCCACAGAGAAACCCTGTCTCGAAAAAAAAAAAAAAGAGAGAGAGAGAGAGAGAGAAGCAGGACTTCTAAAGGGCACAGAGCCACACCGCCTTAAAAATTCCTGGATCTTTATCTCAGTCTTAGCTCCCTCTTCTGTTTCCTCCTCCCCCCTTTTTTCCTTTTTTTTTTTTTTCTGTTTTTGTTTTTGGAGACAAGATTTCTTTGTGTAGCCCTGGCTGGTCTCAAATGCATGGAGATCCGCCTGATCCACCTCCAGAGTGCTGGGATTTAAGGTGTGCACCACCAACCACTGCAAAGCCCTTCTGCTTTCTTTTGAAAACTCTGCCACATCTCTTAACTCCTAGCCAATGCCTAGAATTCTTTGCTTCCTACTTTCTTCTAAACCCCTCTTCCATCACAAAAGTAAAGAAATAAAACCATTGTGACCCTACTTTTAATCCTTTCATATAATCTCCAGACAGAACAATATCCCTCCTGCTACACATCATGCTTAGAAAGTTCATCTCTCCTTTCAACCTATCCATCCTCCAAGAAAACTCCCATTCTATTTCTTACCATTTCCTCATTACTGAATGCTAACTGCAAATCTCCCCCCCCCCATGCTTTACTGGAACTTGTAGGGCAAACTGACCTTGAAACTGTGAATTTCCACCAGCCTCTGGCTTTTGAGTCCTGGGATTAAGGGCATGTAACCACTACTACTTTTTAAAAATTATTTTAAGCAATATTTTGGTGTGGGTGTTTGGCTATATGTATATCTGTGTACTGTGTGTGCTTGGTCACCAAGGAGGCCAGAAGAAGGCATCACATCCTGACTAAGGCACCTGATAATTAGACAAATTAAGCAAATATAACACATCTTTACATAGTTAAAACACTCTTTTTTTTTTAATTTTTACTTATGATTTTATTTTTTTAATTTATTTATTTATTATGTATACAGTGTTCTGTTTGTTTGTATGCCTGCTGGACATGAAGAGGGCACCAGACCTCATTATAGATGGTTGTGAGCCACCATGTGGTTGCTGGGAATTGAACTCAGGACCTCTGGAAGAGCAGACAATGCTCTTAACCTCTGAGCCATCTCTCCAGCCCAGTTAAAGGACTCTTTCACACCAGACAGGAGCTGGGAAGTTGAAGCAGTAAGACTGAGTTTGAAGCCAGTATGGGCTCTACAATGAAACACTGCCTAAACACAAACATCAAGTAACAGTAATGTAATAAACCTTCAAATTTAATTACCTCTCCTGCTTCTTTTTAATACAGGTTCTCACAATGGATCCCTGGCTGGTCTAGAAACTTACTATGTAGACTAGACTGGCGAGAACTGCCTCTTTCTGGGAGCTGAAATTAAAGGCAAGCACCACACCTGGGTCAAATTACTTTTTAAGCAACTTGAACATGCTAGACATAAAATCTTAGCAATACGCCAAGCAGTGGTGGCACGTGCCTTTAATCTCAGCATCTGGGAGGCAGAGGTAGTGAATCTCTGAAAATTCAAGATCAGCCTGGTCTACACAGTGAGTTCAGGACAGCCAAGGCTGTTAAACAGAGAAACCCTGTCTCCAAAAACAAAACAAAACAATTAGCAATACAACTCCAGACAGCTAACTAGACACTAGAGGGTGAATAATTGAGCCAGATCGATATCAGGCTCAATTATTTTTGTTTGAATAACCAACAAAATAAAACCAGAAAGAAAAGACAGACCAAAAGGAATAATAATAGTGAAGGTATAAAAAGGAAAAGTACTTACTGGGACCCTGTCATCATCTCTTCGCCTTCGACCTCTGAAAAGAGCCCTCCTTTGAACAAAAGAATGCATATAAAATTCTTCAAATACATACACTTATTTTCTAACAAAGAAATCTACTTAAAATATTTAATTTTTCAAAATAGGTGCTATTCTTCCATTATTCCTTAAAAGCTAAGTAAATTTTTTTTTAAATAGATCTTGAGCTAATACAAGAAATTTCACTAACTACCACCACCACAATGTTAGCTGGACCCATTTCTATTATAACACATCAAAAGCATTGAAGTCTGATTTAGACAGAATAGTCAAAATAGCCCTCTGCTCTTACAGCTGGTAACTAAGAAGAAATTGAAACTAGAAGGCAGAACCAGACATGGAGATGTACACCTTTAATTCCAATCCTTTTAGAAGGCAGAGGCAGGTGAATCTTTGGGAGTTTTGTGTCCAATCTAATTTCTACATGACAAGTTCTAGGCCAGGCAGGGATAAAACAACACACACCCCCCCCCCAACACACACCAAAAGAAAAAACCCCAATGATTCAAATGTAAAGAAGTAGCTTGGTGGTAGTACTTAAATGAGATGTTTGATGCCTAGCAGTGCCAAACCCTTCAAACTGAAATGAAACCTTCCCAAGTCCTATTAACTTATAAGAACAATGAATTCATTTTTTAAAAGATTATTTATTTATTATGTATACAATATTCTGCCTGCATGTGGAAGAGGGCACCAGATTTCATTATAGATGGCTGTGAGCCACCATGTGGTTGCTGGGAATTGAACTCAGGACCTCTGGAAGAGTTAGTATTCTTAAATGCTGAGCCATCTCTCCAGCCACCAATGAATTTATTTAAGATAATCACACACCAATTAAAATAAGAACAAAAATTACCAGATAGTTTTCAACATTGAAGATCAGCATATTATGATTAAATCAAGTTTCCTTACCTGCCTCTAACAAGGTCCCCGTTCTGTTCCATCTGTAAAATGGGAGCTTCCTTTGGAAGATAAGCTTGTTCTTGACTCCCTGTTACTGTAGAGTTATGCCGTTCAGAGAGAAAGTTCCTTGAACTAGATTTGCTTAATGGTCCATCCCCCAATGACACAGAGCCCTCTGCTGAGTGTTCTGAACCACTGGATGACCTAAAATGAGGCTTCGCACTAAATAAAAAAAAAAAAACATACAAAGAATAAAACAAGAAAATGTTATACCTCTTAGGTAATATTTTTAAGAAAAGGCAAAGGAATTTCCACATGTAATGTGGGGGGGGGGGGAATGAAGTGTCACATAAAGCTACTTCTACCTCAGCATCAATAGCAAGCCTAGTGGTGCATGCCTTTAACCCAGCACTAAGGAGACAAAGGCAGGATAATCTTTGTAAGCTTTAGGCCAGCCTGGTCTACATATGAAATTCCAGGATATTCAGGGCCACAATAGAGTAACTGTTTCAAAAAAAATAGCAACAAAACCACAGTTAGGATTTTACTGGTATTCAAAAAATTTTTCAAAAACAACAACAACAAAACAAACAAGCAAAACAAAAAACAAAAGGCTTTATGTTTACTAATAAGGCTACAGCAGGCCTCTGCTAAAGGTAAAACCACCGGTGGGAGCCACACAAACAAACAAAAAACCCACAACTTATTCTTGTATTGGGTGGCCAAAAACATTGTATTTGTTTTTATATATTTATATCACACACATAGGAAAATGCTGCTTATTAATATTAGGGGAAAATACCAGAAGAGACAGGACTAGAAAGACCTTATCTACAAACAACTAAAAATCAAAACCCAACCAGAAAGCAGTGGTGGCAGCCTTTAATACCAGCACTCCAGAGGCTGAGAAGGTGGATCTCTGTGAGTTCAAGGCCAGCCTAGTTTATAGTGAGACCCTGTCCTGAAAAGTAAAATAAGAAAAATAAAATAAAAAATAAATAAACATAAAAAGAATCTTGGCACTCTAGCCGATGAAAAAGAAAATGCAGGATTTATAACTGGTATGCTGTTGCAGTTTATATGCCACTTCTTATAGCCTTTTCTACAGACATAAATTCATAGTAACAACAGTGTCATTTCTGGGCTTTCTGAGACATCACAAATAATTAGAACATAAACAGGTATTAACTTTTCCAACCAAACCAAAATTCACAACTTGCCCCACAAACCTCACTGACAAAGCCTTAATTTACTCCTCAGACACTATGAAAAGACAAGGTTAAAAATCTTTGTAAAAGTAACTCTAAAATGATGCTTCAAAAAATATTTCAGTAAGTTTGAAGCGAGCCTGGTATATATAGAGCTAGCTCCAGGACAGTCAGGGCTACACAGAGAAACCCTGTCTCGAAAAACACACAAAAAAAATTGTTATATTTTCAAAGTAACAAAAATTACAGTATATTCTTTAATAGGAGTTTAAAAATAGTTAAATCTTTTTCTAAAAATATCTTGGTATGGTAAACTGCACTGTTTCCAAGGACCTGTCATTCACCAAATTCCACTGTGCATTGTACAGGTCTAAGACACAAGTTTATTTATTAAATAGCCCTCAGCTCTCATACTGATAGGAACTGAACAATCACAGTCCAGGCACTACAAATAAAATAAAGTAGAAAAAAAATAAAGTAGAAAAGTGTCTAGACTTTTGCAAGTTAGTCCCATTCTCACTAGGTTAGGATTCTTGATTATCACTGGGCTATCAAAAGTTGAAAACAAGTTGCAAAAAAGTACTAGACAAGGAATGTATGTGTGTAACTCAAGCAAGAAGATGGAGATGCAAGAGGATTGAGAGTTTAAGGACATTCTTGACCACATTACATGTTTCCAAGCTAGAAACCATGTCTGGAAAAATAAAATATAAATAATACCAACAAAACCCAAACATATACATAAAACAAAACACTAAAACAAACCAACAACCCAAAAAGGGGTGTGGTAGTGCATGCTTTAATCCCACAACTCTAGAGGCAGAAGCCAGCCTGATGTATGGAGTTACAGAAGAAAGACTCTTTTCTTTGACTTTCTTTCTCTTCCTCTCCCTCCTCCCTACACCCCTCCTCTCCCTCTTCTTTTCCCCTTTCTGTTCCTCTCTCTTCAGGGGAAAGTGCAAATGCAGTCTGCAATCAAAACAAAAACATACAGAGAACTGAAGGGATGGGGCCTTTAACTGAAAAAGGCCTGACCATCCATCGCTCCTTAGAAGCAAGAAAGAAGCAAAGATTAGGCTGGTTGTAAAAGCTAGTATTCCAGAATTTTAATAAGAAGGTATTCCTATTGTTTTTTGTAGGAGATAGCTTAGCAGGTAAAAATCTGGCCTTGGGAACCAATATAAAAGCCAGATGTGGTGGCATATGCAATCCCAACACTCTTTTTCAGGCAATGAGAAACAGACAAGAGAACTGCCCAGAAACTAAAGAGCCAGATAGACTGAGTATGTGCAGTGGTACCAACAAGGGACCTGACTCAACAAGTGGAAGGTAAAAACAGACTCCTCAAAGTTGTCCTCTGATGCCCACATGCATGCCATGGCACACATGAATACAAGAAAGAACTGTACACACAGGGTTGCATGCATTGTGTGCACACTTTTATTGTGCTGGAGATTAAAATCCAGGGCCTTAATTAAGCAAGGCAAAAGTACTACAACTGAATGACACGCCCAATCCTGTAGGCTTGGTTTGGTTTTGTTATTTATTATTTTAAGTGTATGGATGTCTTAACTGCATGTATATCAGTTTAGAACAGAGGGAGTTATATCCTTCAAACTAGAGTCATAGATGGTTGTGAGCCACGGTGGGGGTGTTAGGAATTAAACCTGCATCCGCTGTAAGAACAGCCAGTGGTGCTAAGCAATCTCTCCAGCCTCTCCAGTCCAGTCCTATACTTTTAAGACAAACATTTGCAAAAATCAGTACTTTTCCTAAAAAAAAAAAAAAGAAAAGAAAAAGAAACCACAACTTGTGTATGTTGGGGAGGAAACTCTGTTAGTTACGTGCTTACTTTACAAGCACAAGGATCTAGGTTCAATCCCCAGAATTCATATAAAAAAACGAACTGGTAGTTGAGTGGTAGCGGTGCACCCCTTTAATCCTAGCACTTGGGGAGGCCCCAAGTAAATCTGAGTTCATGGGCAGCCTGGAATACACACTGAGTTCCAGGAAAGCCAGGACTACACAGAGAAATTGTCTGGAAGAAATGATAAAGTAAAAATAATAAAATATACTTGGGGTGGAGAGCTGGGGTTCAATGGTTAAGATAACAGATTTTATTTCTACAGGGCCAAGGTTCAATTCCCAGAATTGACACAGTGGCTCACAACCATCTGTAACTCCAGTTCCAGGGAACAGAACACCTTCCTTTGGGTTACTAGGACAACAGAAATCAAAGTGGTATAGATACACATATGGGCAAAACACCCACATGTATAATAAAACAAAATAAAAGACAAAACAGAAACCACTGAAATTCTCACCCCTTTATATCTATTACTCATTCTGATCTTGAAGAATTATATACTGAGTAATTCATGAACGTTTTATAAAAATAAACAAAAATACTTAAGAGCTTCCCAACAAGAACATGGAAATAGCTGGACGGTGGTGGTGCACACCTTTAATCCAGCACTAGCAAGGCAGAGGCAGGAGAATCTCTGTGAGTTCAAGGCCAGCCTGGTCTAAAAGAGCTAGTTCCAAGATAGACCCGAAAGCTACAGAGAAACCCTGTCTTGAAAAACTGAGAAAAGGAAAAAAAGGAAAATGGAAATTTCTGAGGAACTACCGAAAATTGTTTAAAATAAATTTCAGCTATCATTTCTTATCTTACCGATTTTTTTGGAATGGTCGGCCCATGTTCACAGCAGCAGCATTTGTTTTATAAGATCCTGGTGAACTAAAGCCATTCACAAAACTACCATTAGGGAAAGGAGCCTAGAAAAAAACATTAGTGTTTAATGGTAAGGATATATAATATAATACTCCAGAGAAGGTTTTGAGAAACCCAAGTGAGCCACAGTAACATCAGTTTCTTCAATAAGTTAAAAAAAAAAATAGAAAACTGTACTTAATCATTTCTGCAATGTTCCCACCTCACACTATTTTATTATAAATAACATATCACTAATTTATTACATAGAAACTCTTTGATGTCAAGAGCTGAGCATAGTGGTGCACATCTTAAGTCCCAGCACTCTTGAGGCAGGCAAATCTGAGTTCAAGGCCAGCCTGGTCTAAATACAGAGTTCCAGGACAGCCAGGGCTACATGGTAAAACAATCAATCAATCAAAGGACTTAGTTTCTTTATCAATTCATTTAGCAAAATGTAAAAATTCAAACTGTAGAAAGCAACAGCTCAACCCTTAGTAATATGCTTACTGATTCCTGGGTAAGGAACTATCATAGTTTACCCACAGAGTAACCAACACAAAAATCAACCAACTGGATTAGCTTGTTGGAGTTTTTGGTAACTTTTTGACAACTATGGCTGGCCTGTTACACTCTATGCAGACTAGCCTGGCCTTGAAGTTGCAATGATTCTTCTAATGCTGCTTTGTGTGTGCTGCAATCACAAGCAAATGCATCTCTACTTGGTTTTTAGATGGTTTTTTTACATTTTAGCTTGAACTAAATATTGTATTATTTTTCTGAAAGTTCTTACTTACCAGTGGTGTTTCAAAGTAGGGTGCAGGGCTTGGAGACCAAGACTGAGGCACAATACTATACACTGAGTACTGCTGATGAGGGTTATACACTGGCTGCATAAAGACTGGTGAGGGATATTGGGTTGGAGTCTGAATGGGTTGAGTATACAGACTAGAATCCATTAATCGATAACCATTCTTAGCAAAAAACGTATTAATGGCTTTTATCCTTGCCTAAAAGCAAGAAGAAAACATAATAATAAAAGATGAAATGTATAATACAACAAATATGTTCAACTTATTTTTTTACATGTATTATGATTTATTTTTGCTTAGAATCAAAATTAATTAGAATCAGAATTAATAGAAAAATCTGGACTTGAGAAGAGCCACAATAAACAAGGTAAAAATAAGAACGAGAGCTGACTCAATAGTGAAGACTGAGTCTGCTACTACCCCAGAGGATTCTCTAGCTTTGCAAAGAGAAATATTACCACCACCACCAAAACAAACCTGGAATACATTAGGTTATAGGAAACAGCTAAGAGCAAAAGAGTGTCTCTGGCCTCTGAACGCACCTGCACTCACATGTACACGCTCACATGCAGAAACATACACGTACAGAAAATTAAAAAAATAAGTACTAACGTAGATTTAAACTCAACGTTCAATTTAAAAATTGCTATTCCATTAACTTCAATATTGCTTTGTTTCTTTGTTGACACCAGATTAATAAGAATCTACGCAGTAAATTCAGAAAATAATAACAGATCAAAGACCCCTAAGAGACATTTCCAAAGAAACGTGACAGGTTCAGCCAACAAGTAGACAACTGTCCAAATTAAAGGGGAAAAAGAAAGGGGGGGAGGGGTTGAGAGATAGCTCAGTGGCTGAGAACATGTATTGTTCTTGTGGGGCAATGGTGGCATATGCCTTTAAGCCCAGCAATCGGGAGGTATAAACAGGAGGATCTCTGTGAGTTCGAGGCCAGCCTGGTCTACAGAGTGAGTTCCAGGACAGGCTCCAAAAACTACTGAGAAATCCTGCCTCAAAAAGCAAAAACAAAAGAAAAAGACAAAAACAAAAGAGCATGTATTGTTTTCACAGAAGACCTGAGTTCAATTTCCAGCACCCATATTAGGCAGCTTAAACTGCTTATGCCAGCTACAGAGGTTGCCCCTAATCTCGGGCATATGCACATATATATATATAGACATACACATATAGGCAAATAAATAATTAAAATGTTAAAAAATGCAATTAGGTTTTAGTATACAATATATACTAAATTAATGAAGTTTTATCAAAGATCAAAATATACATAAGAAATCTTTAAGTCATTGGGAGACATAAAACAGTATCTCTGTAACCTCAAAGGAAAACAATGATTAAAAAAGAGACAAAGGAAGCTGGAATAATTAGCAAAAGAAACTCATTTGTAATATGGAAACTCGTATTATCAGACTCTACACAGTTCACCAGATTTAAACGTCAGTTTTTATAAGTAGTGTCTTGTGCAATATGGTATTGGTGCAAGTTACACAGTGTCCTTACATGTTAACTCTATTCTTGCACCAATCGTTTTCCTAACTAGTCAGTCACGTGACACTAGTCTAGCTAGCTACTGCCATTTACTTCAGTAGTCAAAGTGGAGAAAACAAGAGCACCTATCTCAATCAGGTGTTCTTTCAAATGTACAAGTCTTGCTTTGAACTCTCACTATGTAGCTCAAGTTAGCCTCAAACAACCAATTTTCTTGCCTCATTTTGTTTGAAAAGATGAGTTAATATGTGTACAGTGCTTAACTGAAACAAATAAGAAAACAAGGAGTTAGTACATCAGTGGTTATGAGGCTACACCAACTGTCCAGTATAGACAATAGCAATGATGGAAAGAAGTATGAAGACAAATTTCATAGAATTTAAGAATAAAGTTAACATGTAAGGACACTGTATAAATTTATTATTAATGACAATTCCCTCTTAAATGGATATAATTGTGGTAACACAGTTAACTGACACGGGGCTGGAAGAACTGCAAATGGTTTTCATCATTAAGAAATTATACTTTCAATAAAAAAAGAAAAAAAAAAGAAATTATACTTATTCATTTTGAGATCTAGAATTATAGGATGTAAACTAGTATAAAAACTTTGTGATTCTCTGTTAAAAAAAATTCTGTAGTATTTTCATGTTTTCTGTCAATTAAATTTCTGAAGAACGCAATCAGAAATGTCTTTAAAATTATTATAGCTTTTTATAAAACGACTTTCATAAATTTTTAACTTTTAAAAGAAACAAAAAACTATCAATCATTTTCTACCCAAAACCCCTTATTTCACACTAGTATCTAATGCATTTACAAATGTTTCTTACCATGATTGGCTTGCCCTGAAATGTTTTAACTTCTTCTCTTAAATATTTAAAGGCCTGTTTAAACAAAAATGAACTTCTATTAGCATTTACACATTTCATTAAAGCCATTTTCATTCTATTAAATCAGCTTACTATTATCAGTTCCTAAACTAAACAAAAAGGTCTTGCTGTGTGGTGGTGTACACTTGAAATCCCAGTGCTCAGAAAGCTACAAAGGAGAGGGCTTTGCTGTGAGCTACGCCAGCCTAGCACACAGCAAGGCAAAAACAACAAACCTTGAGAAGACTAAAAAAGAAAACAACACATTCCTGATAGGGCTTGTAGGCAATGCAGGAAGTTGGTAAGGAGCTGTGACAAAAGGCACAACACAAAGGACCTCTAATTGACTCCGGTGGGAATAGTGGCTCTGACACAGCACTGCCCAGAGCGAGGGGCCAGCCTGGCCAACCTTACAAGCTCATAGTGAGCACCTATCTCAAAACAAATACAGACAAGACAAAAAAAACAGCAACAAACAAACCACACACCATTACTACAACTATCAACAACAAAAACCCTAGACAACCCAATCTCAAAACAAAACAACAACAAAAAGAATTTGATTTCCACATCTTTAGTTTAGTTCCAGGGATATATAGCACCCTTCTCTTGCCTTCTTGGGCACCAGGCATACACAGACTGACAATACATTTATACATATGAAAGAGGAAAAATGGGGAATAAGATCATTGTGACAGCTCACATCTGTTCCCAACATTCAGGAGGACATGAGGAAAGACTACTGCCACGTAGCCTAGGCCACCATAAAACTACCACTGAATACAATTGTAAATCTTCAAATAGTGACGTTTAAAGTCTATGTTCATCTATTTTTCTTTCAAATAAAAAAAAATTTTTTTTTAATTAAAACTGAAACCCGAATGCTGCTCCACAGTCTTTAATCCCAGCACTGGGGATGCTTAAGCACATGGATCTCTGAGTTCAAGCCCAGCTTGGTCTACAGAGTGAGTTCCAGGATGGCCAGGGCTACACAGTAAAACCCTATCTTGAAAAACCAAACACACAACAACAACCTGTTAAAATTATATGCAGATAATAAAAAACAAAGTAAATATCAATTTAAAAAAGTATGACCAATCTTGGTAAACTTTTCTTTCTTCTTTTGCCATGGTTTCACTTTGTAACAACCTAGGCTGGCCTTAAACAGCTTCAGTATCAAGCGCTTTGTTAACAGGCATGCACCATCACTACCATGTCTAATTTACATTTTCCTTTTATTAAAGTTTTGAGACAGGATCTCATATAACCCAAGATGGCCCCAATCACACTTATATAGTCAACGTTGGTCCTTAACTCCTGATCTTGCCCTCTCTCTGCCAAGTTCTACGACTATAGGAAGGAACTACCCTATCTGGTCCTTTCCTTGTGGTACTAGGAACTGAACCTAGGACCTTATGTACCCTAGACCTGTACTCTACCACTGGGCCACACCCCTACCCCAAACACATACTCTCCGCTGAGATTTTTATTGGAGGAAGCTCTCCTCTCACCTGTTGCGCATCCGTGTCTGACTGGAAAGTAATATACCAATTGCTGTTGTGTGCAAATTCACAGCTTATGACTTTTGGGCAGTTTTCATTTTTAAACAAAGCTTTCACTTCCTAAAAAAGAAAAATACAGTCAACTCTTGAAAGGAAAACATGTGCGGTTATGGTGTAAAACTTGCACCTAACTTTATCTTATGAGCAACAAAACAGAAATACTTCAGTTCTAATGGCAAGCTAAAGTTTCCTTATTTAGCTCTCTCCCAAGTCATTTTCCTCCTCAACAGGGAGAAAAGTTTGTTTGTTTATCTCAGACAGGGTTTCTCTGTGTAACCCTGGGTGTCCTAGAGCTAGCTCTGTAGACCAGGCTGGTCTCGAACTCACAGAAATATGCCTTTTTCTGCCTCCTGAGTGCTGGGGAAAAGTGTGTGTTATCACCACCCAGCAAGGAGAAAAGTTTTTAAGTTATGATCTTTACTAACATAATACCACTCATACATTCTTATCTAATTTAGATATTTTGTTTGTATCAGAATCAGGTATGAACTCTATACAAACATCTTTCCTATAACTATCTAACTTGCCAAAAAAATGAATCCAGAAAAAAAAAAACTGAGATTGGTAAGGCAAGAGTTAATAGTTGAAAAGAAAGTTTAAAGTTTGGTGATGGGAGCCTGTTTGTAGTTAGAAGCCCAGCTCAGGGGTGGCTCTGAGTGCCTACCCTCTCCTTTTTGGCCTCTGGGCAGAGAATCCCCATTCCTCCTTCCAAGCCCTCCCTGAGCAGAATCTGGAAGCAGAGGACTGTGCGGGGGAAGGGGGGGAGCTTCAGGGATGAACAAGGGGGAACCCCTGGGGACAATGAGCATGGCAGGGAGGGAGGCAGGCGTTAAAAAAAAAAAAAAAAAACCAGTCAGTGGTAGTGCAGGCCTGTGAGTTCGAGGCCAGCCTGGTCTACAAGAGCTGGCTAGTTTCGAGACAGGCTCCAAAGCTACAGAGAAACCCTGTCTGGGGGGGCGGGGAGGTTGAAAAGAACTTACAAAGAGCGAGAAAACAAACATTTACAGGACTATCAGAGAGATCAAACAGTAATTTAATAATCAAATCAAGCCTATTCTGAAGCTATCTACATCTGTTTTCATCATTTCAGTCCATTTACTATCTACTACTTGTAGGTTTAGGAAGGCAACATTTCAGATACATAACGTGAATGACAGTGGGCAAAGATTTAACTACGAAGGCACCATATAAAATCATATAAATAGGGCCTACTTTTTTTTTTAATTCTAACAAATTACAGTAAGTCAGTAACTATGAAATTCCTTTCATTTATCCACATGCCACATGCAATTTATAACAAAGCCCTTAGCACAGCAGTTAAACATAAGCTCTGGAATTTCACGAAGTTTCAATCTAGTCTGCCATGTAATCTAACCCACTTTGAAAAAAATTTGAAATTTATGCCCTGGCAATGCTGAAGCATGCGTGGGCAGCCCATATATGGTGGTTCTGTTGAACTTGTCCATATTGGGTTTCATGGTCAAAGTTGATAAGGACGACTGGCCAGGTCTCTTCCTCAAGAGAGCACCAGATCTCATTATAGATGGTTGTGAACCACCATGTGGTTGCTGGGAATTGAACTCGGGACCTTTGGAAGAGCAGGCAGTGCTCTTAACCGCTGAGCCACCTCTACAGCCTAATAATCTAATTCACTTACACTTGGGTAATTTTTTAAATCATCTTAAGGCTCAGTTACTTTGTCTAAACAACACATCACTATGGCTTTGAATAATTATAAAGTTAGAGCCGGGTGGTGGTAGCCTTTAATCCCAGCACTCAGGAGGCAGAGTCAGGCAGAGGTCTTGGGAGCTCTCTCAGTTCAAGGCCAGCCTCTTCAACTAGAGTTCCAGTACAGAGTCCTAAGCACTATAGAGAAACCCCGTCTTGAAAAATCAAAAGACGTAACGTTAGTCAGTGATTCCTGGCAGAATTACCAAGTATATATGTGTGTATTTTTAGAAGGGTAGGATTCTGAAGTATGCTGTTTTATTCAAATATTATTTTATTCCCAAACCTGAACCACACTAGATCCTTATGACTGTGGCTTTCTTTTACATTTTGCCAACCAATTCTTCTTCAAAAATTTTTTCATCGACTCTTATTAGATGAATCCTCCTAGTTAATTGTCAGTCAATACATTCAAAATTAATATTACTGCAATACTTAGGTTTATTCTCCTAAGAACACAGACATATACATTCTTCCTCCTTTAGTCTATTTTAATACTTCAATTTAACAAGTCTGATAAGAAGGTATTGATTTTTACTTTGCTTGCCTACTTCCTCTGATTTAAACAATTAAAAAACAGTTAGTCTTAGTAATTATCAATGATTACCTCTACTGGTGTAGTTTCAGGAATTTCTCTGAGAATTACAATACAACGCTTATGACTGGGTCTCACCTTCTCCCCCTTCTCATCAACTTGTACCATAGGGGAAGCTGAAATTTAAAAAAAAACAACACATCTTACTTAAAAGTGACAGGTAATGAAATTAATAATGTCATTAAAAATTATCAGTTCACTTTCTTACCAAATAAATTGTCAAATGCTAAGGTAAAATGCCAAAAATTACTGTCATGCTTAAAAAAAGAAAAAAAAAGGGGGGGGGGGGGAAGGTTTGTATGCAAAGATGATTACCAAATGTTATTTGCTAATGTAAGTATCTGGAGCACCAACACTGTAATTAAATGTGCTGAAAAGAATCCTCCAGGGGAAAAAAGCATTTATTATGACTTTCATGTATATCCCCTTTTCCTAGTGATGAGGAACCCCAACATTTTTGTTCTTATACAAAGGAAATGAATTGGGGATACAAATTAAATAATAACTCCAGGAGTATTTGTCAAACTATACATAGGTCAAAACTCATTAGTAGGTTGTGAAATCATAATAAAACAAATGAGGCCATTCCTATACAACAACCTTTACCTATACTTGCTAGGTGTACAAGATTAAAAAGAACATACATACTAACACATACATACACTAAAGGCTACTTAAAACAATTCCCTGTATAACTAGAAATAAAAATTGTTAACTTTGTAACTATAAAAGAGCTAGCCTGGCAGTGGTGGCACACGCCTTTAGTCCTAGCACTTGGGAGGCATAGGCTGGCTGATCTCCATGAGTTTGAGCCAGGACAGGTTCCAAAGCTGAGAAACCCTATCTTGAGGAGAGGGGGTGAAGAAAAGAGGGGGAAAAAAAAAACCTAAAAAGTCATTTACATACATCTCAACACTTCAAGAATTAAATCTGGATCTGTGGTCAGTTTTTTTATTTCTTCCATGTTGGCAACTGTCCATATTGGGATGAACTGATCACTATCCATTTGAGATATCAAGTAAAGATCCTTTGATAAATTTTCTCTGAAAAAAAATAAACAGAAGCAAATATAGCATACATAATTCTTAAAAAGCACCTAAAGCAAAAATGTACCATATTCATGTTTATCACTATGCCCTGAGAAATCAAAGTAGCACAAACACTAAGACGAATTGTGAGAAGTTCAACAGTTCTCTTAGCTCAACTTGAAATATACCAATAGAATCATACCAGTAACAACTTCAATAGATTTTTAATCCCAATGCATATGGAAAAAATGGTAGTTTAACCATAAACTGAATCATAGATATTTAAGTGATTTTCATAAACATGCTTGACTACTGAACCTGAAAGGTATTTAAAATTAAAGATTTAAGATACTCTGCTCATAGTTGGGATTACAAGCTATGTAATGTGCATGTATGCTATCAAGACCAGTTTAAAATCTTGTCTTTTTGTTTATATCAAACAGTCATTAAGGTTGAGTAAATAAGAATATCTGTATTGCCGGGCGGTGGTGGCGCACGCCTTTAATCCCAGTACTCGGGAGGCAGAGGCAGGCGGATCTCTGTGAGTTCGAGGCCAGCCTGGTCTACAAGAGCTAGTTCCAGGACAGGCATCAAAGCTACAGAGAAACCCTGTCTCAAAAAACCAAAAAAAAAAAAAAAAAAAAAAAAAAAGAATATCTGTATTGTGCACACTGTCAATCCCTATTCCGGAAGTAGAGGCAGGTGGATCTCTGAGTTTGAGTCCAGCCTGGTATACAAAGCCAGGGCTACAGAGAAACCCTGTCTGGAAAAACCCCTAAACCCAAAACAAACAAACAAATAAAAACAATAACAAAACACATGTACTCTAAATTCTCCTTTCTTTGATGCTGTTCTCATTTTCTAACCCATAGCAATCATCACCTAACTGTATATTGTGTTTGTTGTTTTGTGTCTCCCAGGCAGATTATGGGTTTCATGAAAGATCTTCTTGATCCAATAAAGCTTTTAAAGCCTTATAGGCAGAGTTGGTCGAGGGGTTTAGAGAACTGAATGTTTTCCCATACGACCTAGGTTTGATTCCTACCACATACATAGCAGCTCACAGACACCTGCTAACTTCAGTTTCAGGGGTCTGATGCCCTCTTCTGGGCTCTACAGGCAATGCATGTTTATGGTGTGTAGAAATATGGGCAGGCAAAATACCCATACACATTAAAATGAATTAAATCTTTTTTTTTAATCTTTCCTATGGGCAAAGAGTAAACTCAAAGACCTTTAAACTAAAATCCAGCTAAGATAGTTATCAAGGTAGTTAGTTATTTGTTGGAAGAAGAGTAATAGAAGATACCAGTAAGATTAAACTCATGCCAGGTGAATTGAGGATAGCCTGGTCTACAGAGCAAGTTCTAGAACAGGCTCCAAAGCTATAAAGAGAAACCCCATTTCAAAAAAACAACAAAAACTCACATTTCAATACAAAAGGACAAATTAACATCACTGTAATAAATGTAATAAAAAAGTTATTATTTAATAACTTGAAAATCCCCACGGAGACAGTGGGGCTGATCTACTGGGAGCTCACCAAGCCCAGCTGGACTGTGACTGAAAAAGCAGGGGATAAAACCAGACTCTCTGAATATGGCGGACAATGAGGGCTGCTGAGAAGCCAAGGACAATGGCACTGGGTTTTGATCCTACTTCATGTTCTGGCTTTGTGGGAGCATAGCCAGTTTGGATGTTCACCTTCCTAGACCTGGATGGAGGGGGGAGGACTTTGGACTTTCCACAGGGCAGGGCACCCTGACTGCTCTTCAGACTGTAGAGGGAGAGGGAGAGGAGTGGGGGGAGGGGGAGAGGAGTGGGAGGAGGGGAAGGGAAATGAGAGGCTGGGAGGAGGCGGAAATTTTTTTTTCAATAAAAAATAATAATAACTTGAAATCAGAAACCATACAAAAACATGGTTTTTGCACATCTAAAATGCTGTAGTTTGAGCAAACTGGAGTTGCATCAACCCCATTCTTATCAGTCAGTATTAAAGCGTTTAGCCAAAGAATCTTTAATTCTCAAAAGCAAATCAAATTGACAGTACATCAAAGACTTCCCACCTACAAGTAAACCTGGTATACTATTGGCAATGGAGCTGAGCTAAAAACAGTATTAGCCATATTGGCTTGGAAGAGTGTCAGAGATCTAATATGATGTGGCAGATCACAAACAAATGCTCTTATTTCAGAAACTAAAGAAGCTGTATAAACTACAAAAATCTTTTCTGTTGTTTTTTTGAGACAGGGTTTCTTTGTGTAGCCTTAGCTGTCCTAGAACTATGTAGACCAGGCTGGCCTCGAACTCACAGAGATCCAAAGCTTAAAGGCGTGCACTATCTTATTTCTGGAAATATGAGAGAGCTATAGAAGCTTTAAGGACAAAATTACTCCGCCTGGAGGGATGGCTCAGCCGTTAAGGACTAGGCTCACAACTAAAATGTAAGAGTTCAGTTCCCAGTACCCATGGCTGTCCCTCCAGGTACCCAAAAGAGACAAAATTACTCAGGTGTCAGGAATATTTCCTTCTAGGATATATTTGTGTATAATGGTTCAGAGTAACTTTACCACACAATGGAGAAATCAGAGAAGCAGATTTGAGCAGTTGTATATATATGTATTATGTATAATAGTCAATGACTGGCACTATTAATTAACAACCACAGATATCTCTAACACCCAGTACATTTTTTAAACATTTCCTAGGATTGTAAGGAGGAAGATGGGAGACTATGAACCAGATTGAAAGCATAGTATATAACCAACATTTATAAAAAGTACAATAAAGTAATCAATTAACTGAGCACTGGGCACACTCTTGTAATTCTAACATCAGGAGGTTGAATCAGGAGAATTACAAATTCAAGGAAAGTTGACACACTCGGGCTATGTAGCAGCAAGAAATGGATAGAGGGGAGGAAAGATGGCTTAGTGTTAAGAGCACTTTCTGCTCTTGTAGAAGACCCAGGTTCAGTTCCCCACACCCACATGGCAGCTCACAACTGTCTCTAACTCCAGTTTGAAGAGATACAACGCCTTCTTCTTGCCTCTGAGGACCCTGCATGTAAGTGATGCATATATACATATATAGGTAAACAGTCACATACATAAAATTAAAAAGAAGAGAATCAAGGGCTGAACATATTCTTAATAATCCCAGAACATGGAAGGCAGAGGCAGGTGGATCTATATGAGTTTGAAATCAACCTGGTCTAAACAGTGAGTTCCTGGCCACAGCTAGAATTACACAATAAAATCTTGTTTAAAACTAAAAAACAAAAAGCGAGGGTGTGTATGTGGGGTAGGGCATGATAACACAAAATACGACAGAAGCAGTTCCAAAAATAATCCAGTTTGTAAGAACCTTAAAATAATTATTAAAAGTATTTTATTTGGCCGGGCGGTGGTGGCGCACGCCTTTAATCCCAGCACTCGGGAGGCAGAGGCAGGTGGATCTCTCTGAGTTCGAGACCAGCCTGGTCTACAAGAGCGCTAGTTCCAGGACAGGCTCCAAAAGGACAGAGAAACCCTGTCTCGAAAAAAAAAAAAAAGTATTTTATTTAAAAAAAAGGAATTATGCTCACATCTAATTCCAGCACTAGGAATGAGGAGAAAGAAGGACTGGTTAAGAATTCAAGATCAGGCTAAGCTCACAGTGAATTCCAGGTTAGCCTTGGCTAGAGTAAAGTCTTATAAAGTAAATAAATTAAAATCTAATTACATTAGTGTGTGATACTGCATGCTTAGAATTCCAAAATTCCTAGGGTGGCTGAGGAAGGAGAATCTTGAGGGCTGCTTGGGTTGCCTAAGTCTGTCTCAAAAACAAAAGAAAAACATAAAAAAAAAAAAATAAAGTATGTTTCCTTGTAGTAAAATATCAATTACTAGGGCTGGAGAGATGGCTCAGTGGTTAAGAGCATTGCCTGCTCTTCCAAAGGTCCTGAGTTCAAATCCCAGCAAACACATGGTGGCTTACAACCATCTGTAATGATATCTGGTGCCCTCTTCTGGCCTGCAGGCATACACGCAGACAGAATATGTATACATAATAAATAAATTAAAAAAAATATATCAATTACTAGATGCAGAAAAGAAAAATTGGTGGAATTAGTGCTGGGATAGGCTGAACACTTGCCTAGCACTCATGAGGCCCTGGTTTTAATCCTCAGCACCACTAAAAAAAAGAGGTGGATGAGGGCAAAATAATTAGAAAACCACAAAATAGCTATTTGGCAACCACCAAAAAAACAAATTATTCATATGAGAACCAGGGCTGAAGATAACAGCCCAGTGGCACAGCACTTAATTGTCCAGCATGTGAGAGGCTCCAGGTTAAAGATCAGGGGGTGGGTGATATGCCTGGTATGGTCGTGCATGTCTTTAATCCTAGCACTAAGGAGGCAGAGGCAGACAGACCTCTTTAAAAGAAATTGAGAACCTGGCTCACAGAATCAAAATTCAAAAAACAAGAGAGAAAGGTAGCATAAAATCTATGCTTCTGAGCCAGGTGTGGCTGGGCACACACCTTTAATCCCAGCACTCAGGAGACAAAGGCAGGCAATCTCTGAGTTTGAGGCCATTCAGGACAGAACAGAGAAATCCTATCTTGAAACCCCCTCCTCCCAAAAAGTCAATACTTCCAGCCTACAAGGAGTTCGAATGACTGTTTCACCAAATACTGGGGGAAAAAATGGAAAACACTACATCTGCATGTATGTCCTATTTTCAATTATTTTCTAACAGCTTTTGTTTTGTTTGAGACAGTCTTACTATGTGCCTCTGGCTGTCCTGGAAGTCTCTATGCAGACGAGACCAGCCTCACCTCTGAGACTCACCAGTTTTTGCCTCCCTAGTTCTGGGATTAATTAATATGTGTGTCATAATGCCCAGTTGTAAATAGTTTTACATACTGAAACTTTATAGTTTCTAAGCAACAAATATTTCTATGTAATTCTCACCTGTAGATAAGCTATTTTGAAACATCCGCCTAAAAGGACTTCATGTTTAAGAAAAAAAAACAAAATTCTTGACCTATTGTTTTAGGGTCTTGCTAAAATTACTCTGTTCAAAAGTTAAAAGAGCCAACTCCTAAAAACTTAAAATTGAGATTTTTTTCCTTCCTTTTATTCTGATAGTTTTTAAAAATTATTTTCCTTTGGTTTTTAGAAAACTCAGACTAAAACTGAGCCTAGGAAAAGTATGCAATGGATACTGTCATTTGCCGAGAAAAGATAAAAACAACTAAAGGCTACCCTTAAGTCTAAATAAGAAATATACTCAAGAAAGATATCAAAATCTGTGACTAAAGAGAATGATAACTGCCTATTGCACAGGTATTTTATATCTACTCACTAAAAACATAAAAAGAATATCAATTAAAAAGATCTGTACCGTGAAAAACAGAACTCTAATTGTTTTCTCAGACATTCTTTTAAATCTTCTGTAGAAATTGTTGAACTGCTTTCTCCTGATGGCAGAAAATGAAAGAGAGAAAACTGTTAAAGTTGTCACAGGTAAAACTTAACACATATTCTGAAGTCATCGATTAACTACAAATTAAAATGTAAAACAAAACTGTATTATTAAATCAAGTCTAATTTCTTTCAACTTACACTTTTTCCAGCAGTACTTCATACTGACTGAAGCTTCATCTTACTGAGCTGGAGCTGAACTCCGAAACACAGAGAGTATTCATCTAGTATGTGTATGGCAATGGACTCAATATGCGTTGTCACACACATAGTTCATACATGTCAGTCAGTACAGTACTTGTCATACAAGCATGAACCCCAAGTTCAAGTCCCAGAACACACATTAAAAATGTCAAATGTGATGACATCACAGTGCATACTTGTACTTCCAGTACCATGAAGGTAAAAACAGGAGGTCCATGGGGCTCTCTAGCCAGTTGGCCTAACCTAATGAGTGAGCCCAAAGCCAGTGACCTGTCTCAAAGACCAAGGTGGAGAAAAGCACACATGCGCGCACACTTCTCCAAGAAATAAGGAAGGACCATTCGTACAAAAAGTATTTGACTACTATGAAGTTAAACATTGCCCTGACCTCATTTGTAAAATTGTGAGGCAGGCAGATCTCTGAGTTTTGAGACCAGCCTGGTCTACAATGTGAGTTCCAGAACAGCCAGGGCAACACAGAGAGACCATTTCAAAAACAAAAACATAAAAAATTGAAAACTACTCAGTTCTTCAAGGGAACACGAAAGAAAACAAGAAACCCCAAACTAAAGGTGATCTAAAATTTAAGACAGGAACTAACGTGGGATAGATTGTGTTTATGTAACTAGCATGATATCCACTGTGAGTCACACTCATAATTCTCTTTATATCTTTTTTCATTTCTTGACTTGTTTCCTCAGTTGCTTGGCTTTGACTTTTTGAGACAGCATCTTAGGTAGTTTAAACAAACTTCAAACACACTATGTGGGTAAGCATGACTTTGAAGTCCTAACCCTTCTGCCTCTACCAACAAGTGCTGAGATTATATTGCACAGGGTAGGTCTTACTATGTAGCCCAGGATGGCCTTAAAACACAGACTATAAATCCTCCCCACAAGGAAGGAACACAGAAAAAATGACTAAGAGCAAATGTCCTCTCATGATTCTAGAGAAGTTAAGTAACAAGATGAACCCTAAGCGAAGCATATATAGATTCACCTGGAAAGTCGAAATAGACAAGATTGCCTGACAAAATTGGGAGCATGGGGGTGAGGGGAGAAGGAAGGGTGTGAGGGGAAGGGGGAAAGGAAAGGAGAATGGAGGAGGGGAAGGAGAACTTGAGGGAACGGATAATCTAGAGATATCTTGATTGGGGAAACCATTATGGGGCTAGCAAGAAACCTGGCTCTAGAGGAATTCCCAGGAATCCACAAGGATGATCCCAGCTAAGACCCTAAGAAATAGAGGAAAGGGTGCCCGAACTGACTTTGCCCTGTAGTCGGACTGATGAGTATCTTAAATATCACCATAGAACCTTCATCCAGCAACTGATGGAAACAGAAGCAAGCTCTGGACTGAGCTCCCAAAGCCCAGTTGAAGAGTGGGAGGAGAGAGAATATGAGCAAAGGTCAAGACTATGATGGGTTCACCCACTGAAACAGTCTACCTGAGCTAACGGGAGCTCAGCAACTCCAGCTGGACAGGGAAGGACCCAGCATAGGTCCAAACTAGTCCCTCTGAATGTGATTGACAGTTGTGTGGCTGGAGCAGATTGAGGGGCCACTAGCAGTGGCACCAGGATTTATCCTAACTGCTTGTACTGGCTTTTTGGGAACCTATTCTCTTTGGATGGATAGCTTGCTCAGCCTAGACATAGCAGAGAGGGCCTTGGATCTTTCCCAAAGCAGTGTGCCTCACCCTCTCTGTGGAGTGGATGGGGGGACGGGGGGGTGAAGGGAATGGAAGGAGGGGAGGGAGTGGAAACTTGGATTAGTATATATAATGAAAAAAGATAAGTTTGTTCTCTTTTTATGCACACATGTATTTTCCATGTGTGCATAGAGGCCAGAAGTTGATATTTGGTGTCCTCTATCATTCTCCACCTTAAAGATCTCTTGATGAACCTGCTATGGTGGCTGGCTAGGAAGTTCCCAGGATCCGCCTGTCTCTATAACTAGTACTGGGGTTAGACTCAAATCTACTATGCCTAGCTTGTATGTGGGTGCTGGGAATCGGGATTTAAGTCCTCCAGCAAGTACTTCACTCACTGAGCACTTCCTCGGCCCTAATATTTCCCCAATGATTAGTTGCTAAACTTAAAATATACAGTGATAAATTAATTTGAACAGTAATGAAGGTTTTTCATTCTAAGTATACATATCCCTCCCTCTCTCCCTGCTTTCTTCCTTCTTTCCTCTTTTGAAACAGCGTTTCTCTGTGCAACAGCTCTGGCTGTACTGGAACTCGCTCTGTAGACCAGGCTGGCCTTAAACTCAGAAATCCTCCTGCCTCTGCCTCCCAAGTATTGGGATTAAATGAGCACACCACCACTGCCCCAGTAATATATGTAATCTAAATAATTTTTTACATTATTATTTTATGTACATGAGTGTTCTGTCTACATGTATGCCTCTGTATCACATCGTGCCCAATGCCATTGGAGGACAAAAGAGGACATCAGATCCCATAGAACTGGAGTTATGGATGGTTTGTGAGTAGCCATTTGGGTGTGTTGGGAATCAAACCCAGGTCCCCTGGAAGAGTGCTATTAAACACAAGTGAGTCATCTCTCTCCAGCCCCTGTGGAATCTTGTTTTTGAAAAAATTATTGTGGGCTGGAGAGGTAACTCAACAGTTAAAAAGAGTACTAACTACTTTTTGCAAAAGACCCAAATTTGGTTCCCAGCGCCCAAGTTGAGTCTCACAACCATATGTAACTCAAACTCCAGGGAGATGCAACCCTATGGCCCCCACAGGCACAAATATATACACATTATTATTATTATTATTTTTTTTTTGGTTTTTCGAGACAGGGTTTCTCTGTAGCTTTGGAGCCTGTCTGGGAACTCCCTTTGTAGATCAGGCTGGCCTCGAACTCACAGAGATCCTCCTGCCTCTGCCTCCCGAGTGCTGGGATTAAAGGCGTGCGCCACCACCGCCCGGCTTACAGACACATTATTAAAGAAAATAAGTAATAGTGTGTAAGAAAATATGTGTAGGCGTGCATATGGCAACCAGAGGACAGCTTTATTGGGTTGGTTCTTTCCATCTACCTACATGTGGGTTCTGGGGATTGAACTTAATGTGGCAAAGCACCGATACTCCATAAACGTTTTCACCTGTATATGCAATCTGTTATATAAAAGTCACCTCTCCAAATGCTAAGTGAATAACCAATTTACTCAACTTTCAATGTCATTTACAGGAAGCACATTCAAACTAGCTGCACTACACCATTTATCAAGCCTATATTCAAAGTAGCCAACTGTTAACTATAATATGACCATAAAGTGAAAGGAGACATCATTTTTTTGTTAATTTACTATTAATAATTAATTAGTTTTGTCTGTGGACCACCATGTACATGCCCGGCCCCTGCAGACCCAGAAGAGCACACTGGATCCTCTGGAACTGAGTTACAGACCGCAGTGAGCTGCCTCATAGGTGTTTGAGAATGTAGAGCAACCCGTGCTCTTAACACTTAGTCATCTCTCCAGCTATGGACTTATCACTTTAAATTTTCATACGGGAATAGCAACCCTACATCTCAGAAATCACCTTATAAGTCAAACGACTTAGAAATCTATCTTGGGAATGGATATGTACACTAGGTAGAAGCTAGCATGAGGAACTGAACTGAGATCCTAAGCACCCAAGTAAAAAGTTAAGCATGGCTGCCTCAGTATAAGGGGGCACACTAGTGGTCACAAGCTCACACCAGACATACAAATAATTCTAAGTATTTAAAAGGTTAATTAAAGCTAGGAATGGTACTGAACACTTCAATACCAGTACCATTTTGGAAGCAGGCAGATCTGAGTTTGAAGCCAGATTGGACAACTTAACAAATTCTAGGCCAGCCAGGGCTACATACTTCATATGACACAGCCTCAAAGAAAGAGGAATAATTGAAGAAAATTGCTTATAGATTTTGTTCTAAATCATAGGGTTCTTTGAAGCAGAAAGAGATATGCCTATTACAACAATTTTTCCAAAAGACCCTTTAGAAAAATAAAGTTAGATAAATACAATCTATAGTTCACTTCAGTTCCTTTTAAATTTCCTCCATTTTTATGGCTAGAGAGATGGGTCAGCAGTTAAGAATTTTTTTGGAAACCCTTTAAATCATATTGACTACTACCTCCAAGCTGGTTGGATCAATATGGGAAAAAAACGAAAATAAAAAACCATTGCAAACAGAATCACAGAAGTCTGTTGCTGACATTAAAGACAGACTCCACATTATGTCTAAGTGAGCTTCAAACTCTCAATCCAGATGCCTCTGACTCCTAAGTGCATGGATTAGGAGTGCTACCCCTGCCATCTAGAACTATGTATCCCTCCCCCTACCTGACAAGGTTTCTCTGAGTGGACCTGGCTGTTCTAGAACTTGCTCTATAGACTACGTTGGCCTTGAACTCAGAGATCCATCTGCCTCTGCCTCCAATGTGCTGGGATTAAAGCATCACCACTGCTTAATATATACTTTTTTTCTTAAAATTAATCTCTGAAATACAGTACTTATTTTAAAATAAATTTCATGCTGACAAAAGTGATAGAAAAACTGATAAAACTGCAATGATCAACTAATAAATTGAGAAACTCATAACTTTTGAAATTTGGATCTCTTTTAATTACTTTCTCCTGTTATCTTTAATCTCACGCTTTTCTTTAACAGGTCTTTGCAAAGACTTCCTCTACAAATTTTGTGTCTGGGTACTAGCCAACAGTATTTTTAATAATCACCTAAAAGTTGTTTGATATACGCTTCTTTTCAAAATAGAAAACAAATTGATCAATATCATGTTTATCAAAACAATGATAGGAACAGAGCTAAGGATATTAAATTCTCATTTTAGCAATAAAAAACAAAGGTTACCAGAAACATCGTATATTTGGTAACTCAGATCTTCTGGTCCTAAAATCATTCCATCAGCTGACTCTTCGATGTCTGTAGTATTTCCTGTGGTTTCACAAGCGGGAGAATACATGACTTCATACTCCTTGCACATATCTTCTGAAAGTTCTGGATTACCTGTTTTTAAGAAACAGTATTAAGCCGGGTTGTGGTGGCGCATGCCTTTAATCCCAGCACTCCGGAGGCAGAGGCAGGCGGACCTCTGTGAGTTCGAGACCAGCCTGGTCTACAAGAGCTAGTTCCAGGACAGGCTCCAAAACCACAGAGAAACCCTGTCTCGAAAAACCAAAAAAAAAAAAAAAGTATTAAAAGTAAACAGGAATTATTTAAACCCACCTTTAGTGACTAAGTCATCCTCTAAAAACAATTTCAAGGAACTGTACCAGCTGGAGAAAATTTTCCCATTGGCAAGAGTTATTTCTGAGCTGGGTGGTGGTGGTGCACGCCTTTAATCTCAGCACTTGGTAGGCGGACAGGTGAATCTCTGTGAGTTTGAGGCCAGTCTGGTCTACAGAGCGAGTTCCAAGACAGGCTCCCAAAAAGTTATTTCTGAAGACAGACAAGTTTTGACTGTATCTAGCTAATTCATTTGCTTACTTTCCTGGAAGCATCAAACACTATGATGGGTTATCACTTTCTGTTCTTTCTGTTATGCAGACGAGGGGAATAGCACGCCAGGTTAACTGCCCAACACCCGTGAGTCAACACATCTGATGATGACAGACCCAAGCAAATCTTATCAGAACTTCTAAAGGACATGGGCTATAAAATGGGCTAGATGCTGACCCAAAAACACATACATTAGTGACTAAAGTCATGTAATATAAAAAAAAAAAATCATTGACAAACTATAACACTAAGTAAGCATTCACAAATAAATTCAAATCTTTGGACCTGAAAAGTGCCCCCAACTGTTTGAGATAAAAGTTTGGCACCCAGTGTGGCAATATTTGGATAAACTGTGACTCACTCCATCATTGTATTAATCTGAGCTGAAGACCTTAGCAGCTCTTAGGAAATGATGGCACCCTAAGAGGTGGAGCCTAAATGAAGATAAGAGCTTTGTGGTGGCAGGTCCTAAGCTCTTTTCTTTCGGGTTCTTTGTTTGTGGGTCCAGTGATCAGCAACTCTGCTTCACCAAGAGACTCAAAATGCCCAAAGTTACTATGAACTGAACCTCATGAGCCAAAATAAAAACTTTCTTCCTGAAAGTTGACTTTTCTTATATATTTTGTTCAGCACAAAAATGTTAACCAACACAGCAAATTACCAAAGGCTATCTCAAAGTTGTTTGAGCTAATTTAATCATACATTTAACCAAAATTTAAATTTTCCAATAAATACTTAAGACTTACCCTCAGGATGAGATCCAGATGTGGCTGCAGTTTCATGCCAAGTGCTTTCCGTTACAGGAGTGCCATCTGGATTTCCAGAAGGAATTTCTTGCCATACTTTGGCATTAGGATTTAAACCAGTGCCTTTAGATGTCACCTGCTAAACAATCAAAAAAGATCTGTGTAAATTGAGATCAAGGGCATTTTTATTACTTAAATTTGAAAATAAAAGCAAAATAAAATAAAAACAGCAATACTAACAGACAAACAGTACATAATTAGTAGGTCTGTGTTCTCCCTACTCAAGGGTCTCTACACAGCTCCAGTTGTCATCAGTCTACTTCCTAAGCACCAGGATTACAAGTATGGCCGGGTGGTGGTGGCGCACGCCTTTAATCCCAGCACTCGGGAGGCAGAGGCAGGTAGATCTCTGTGAGTTCGAGGCCAGCCTGGTCTACAGAGCTAATTCCAGGACAGGCTCCAAAGCCACAGAGAAATCCTGTCTCAAAAACAACAACAACAACAACAAAAAAAAGGATTACAAGTATGTACCACAACACCCAGCCAAATACTAGTTTCTGATCCATGTGAAAATAAAACATTTAAAAGTAATTGATCTGAGATAAGAATTTCAGATTTCGGTGTGAAATATGGCTACCCATGTAATAAAAAATATGCACCTCTACAAAATATTTTTCTTGTGAAGATAGGGTCGCACTGTGTAGCCCAGGTTGGCCTAGGACTCACAAAGATCTGCCTGCCCATACCTCCTGAGTTTGGCATTAAATGCATGTACTACTATGCCCGGCCTTTTTTAAACACTCTTTAAAATACTGCCTGAGCAGATGGAGGCACAGGTCTATACTCCCACACTTGGTAAAGGCAAGAAGATCAGAAGTTCAAGGCTGACAACAACTATTAAGTTTGAGGTCATGTTGAGCTACATGAACCTATCTCAAAATAACAAACAAGGGCTGGAGAGATGGCTCAGTGGTTAAGAGCATTGCTTGCTCTTCCAAAGGTCCTGAGTTCAATTCCCAGCAACCACATGGTGGCTCACAACCATCTGTAATAAGATTTGGTGCCCTCTTCTGGCCTGCAGGCATATACACAGACAGAACATTGTATACATAATAAATAAATAAATAAATAAATAAATGAATAAATAAATAAAAAGATTCTTAAAAAAAAGAAAAAAAAATAACAAACAAAATTTTATTTTTAAAATAAATTGAGGCCAGGCGGTGGTGGCGCACGCCTTTAATCCCAGCACTCGGGAGGTAGAGACAGGTGGGTCTCTGTGAGTTCGAGACCAGCCTGGTCTACAAGAGCTAGTTCCAGGACAGGCTCCACAACCACAGAGAAACCCTGTCTCGAAAAAAAAAAAAATAAAAAATAAATAAATAAATAAATAAATTGAGGCCAGGCGGTGGTGGCGCACGCCTTTAATCCCAGCACTCGGGAGGTAGAGACAGGTGGGTCTCTGTGAGTTCGAGGCCAGCCTGGTCTACAAGAGTAGTTCTGAACAGGCTCCAAAGCTACAGAGAAACCCTGTCTCAAAAAAACCAAAATAAATAAATAGAGAAAATACTATTTTACCCCAACCTATTTTAAAAGATAATAAAATTTATTAAAAGTAATCACATATCTAAAATGTTTCTAAAAGCAATGTAGTAGGCACTCTTAACTGCTGAATTTCTCCAGCTCTCTTCGAATTTTAAAATTATTTATTTACTGTATGTGTGTACACAGAGATCAAAGGATAATACTCAAGAGTTGGTTCTCTCTCAATCGTGTGTGTCCTGGGAATCAAACTCGGATTTCTTAGTGGCAAATGCCTTTATCTTCTAAACTGTCTTACCAAACCCTTCACTTAAAAATCTCCCCCCCCCATATGTATGTGTTTCTAGGAAGCCTGTCTGTCTTTCCTGCATTAAGTCATGAATTTCTCCCATACTCTTCTAAAGAGTCAATCTTTTACTTGAGTTTCTCCCAGTAATATTCAATGAAATATTATTTTGTTACACTCTACTGTTCGCCATATATATTTCTTTTTCTGTTTGTTTGTTTTGCTTTGGTTTCTGAGATAAGGTTTCTGGCTGTCCTGGAACTCACCATGTAGACCAGGCTGGCTTCAAATTAAAAGAGATCCACTTGCCCTCTGCCTCCTGAAAGCTAGGATTAAAAGTGTGTGCCACCACCACACACTTTTTTTATTTCTTAACTGCTTTCTTTTATCAACTGAAAGTTATGAGATATGAGAGCAAGCAAAATAGAATAGGAGGTAAATGATTTGCCACGCCTGACAACTTGGATGTGATCCCTAGAACCTAGAAGAGAAAACTGACAAAGTTGCCCTTTGACCTTCACACACCCACACCATGGCATATGAACACACTTAAACACCACACACATATTAATAGTAATACATTTGATTTTTTTTTTTAAGTTTTGAAACTAAATCTGGAGGGGAGATGGATCAGGTATACTGTGTGCCGTGTCTAAGATCACTCATATTTTAAGAACAAGTACTTAAGTACTCCCCACCACTCTACCATTAGTTACTCGCTGGTTAGTGATTGTTTAGTTACAGAATAATTTTTGATAGCAGAACTACAAAGAACTTGTGCTAGCCTAGGTCTCCTCAACGATATTTAAAACTTGCTGGTATCAATGTTATGGGGGGGGATGTAATTACTGTTTAAATATGGAATCTTTTTGTTGTTTCAAGATAAGGTTTTCCTTCTCTATATAGTCCTGGCTGGCCTGGAACTCAGAGATCTGCCTGTCTCAGTATCTTCTGGCACTGAGCCCTGAAATGTGGTTGCCTTTCATTGATTCTACACAATTCTTGGAAATAATCTTTTTACATTTTGTCCCTCTGCTTTATTACTTCTTTCTGGAACTCCAATACAACATACATACACTTTCTCATCTGTGCACCATCTGTTCCATGTATCAAACTTTTTTTAAAACTTCTGTCCTTTTTCTTCCTCCAACTCTGAAAATGAACCTCACTATTTAGTCCTGACTGACCTAAAACTTCAAAAATACGCCTGTATCTGTTTTCTGAATTCTGAAATTACTGGCATGTACCACCATGCCAGGCTTTGCATTCTAAGCAATTTCTTAATATCTTCCTTCAGTTCACTAAGTTTTTTCTAAGATGCTCCCCAAATAATTAGTTGTAAGTCTCTTAAGTCCCTTTTTGTCATTTTATTTTATTTGTGGAAAAACTGGGAATTATGCTTAAATTGGAGTGTGTTTGTGTGTGTGTGTTTCAAGACAGGGTTTCACTGTAGTTATCAAGCCTATCAAGCCTATCCTGGAACTAGCTCCTGTAGACTAGGCTGGCCTCAAAGTCACAGGGATCCACCTGCCTCTGCCTCCAGAGTGCTGAGATTAAAGGTATGCGCCACCACCGCCTGGCGCTTAAATGGACTCTTTTTTCTTTGTTTTTTCGAGACAGGGTTTCTCTGTGGCTTTGGAGCCTGTCCTGGAACTAGCTCCGTAGACCAGGCTGGTCTCGAACTCACAGAGATCCGCCTGCCTCTGCCTCCCGAGTGCTGGGATTAAAGGCGTGCGCCACCATCGCCAGGCCTTAAATGGACTCTTATGAAGAAAAATTTTCCTTTTCCGGGTGCACCATGAACCTTGAATTATCATTCTCATTCATATTCATTCATTCCCTCCCCGTCTGTCTCCTCCCAAGATCCCCCTCCCCCTCCATCTCTTAAGTGTTGCTAGGATTAAATGTGTAGGCCATGCTCAGCTACCTTACATTCTCAATCTAAGGCTTTGGGAAACAATAGGGTGGTGAATTTTAGTCATATTCCATGGGGGTTGGGAGAGACTGGGGCCTTTCCCATACGAATCAAGATAAAATCGGCAGTTTGCTTCTGATTTACTTTGTATTCTGCTTCTGAGCACAAAGCACTACTAGGCCACCAAGGATCAAATACTAAGGGTAGCCCAAGTTTTATCAACTTTTACAGGTAAGAACTGGTACAGCTACTTTCTTAGTGACTCAACACTCCTAAGTATCACATGGAGAAGCAGAAGAGAGTGCTCTGAAGAAGGGCTGAGTAAATTGAGTAGCCTTGCTTTACAGCCAGCTCTTGACAGAAACGCTCAAACACAAGAGACCAGAGCCACTTGTTCAAGACAACACTGCTTAGTCACTGAGGAAGGAGAAGCCTCATGACATCATAAACATTCCACAACCTCAACACGTCACACCAGGGATAATATGGTTCTACATTAACTGTGAGAATAAACTGTAACAGCAAAGAATCCAGTTCTAAATTTTCCCAGAAGAATACAACATATTTTGCTTTTAAAATTAAAGAGTAATTCTGACATTTGAGAAGCAAGTATGTAGAAAAGTAAGTAGAAATAAAACCACTGTTGTTATTAAATAATTACATATAATTATGGGTTTTGACATCTCTAAAATCATAAGGCACTTTTATCACATTATGGGGGCTGAAGAGACAACTCAGGTTATTATCACATTATGGGGGCTGAAGAGACAACTCAGGTTAACACTGACTTTTTCCAGAGGACCCAGGTTCAATTCCCAGTACTGAGATGGCAGCTAAAAACTGTACTATGTATAGTTCCAGAAGATTGAATACCCTCTTTTGGCTTCTGTCTGCACCAGGCACAGACATACATGCAGGCTAAATACCCACCCATGCAATAAAATAAAAATCTGCTTATGGTTTATACATTCCTTGAGCACCTTTGTTCTGTTTTGTTAACTATACTTTATTTTATCAGAAACATAATCGTTTACGGAGTACACATGCCTGATATTTAGGCAATGGGTCTAAAAAAAGGGGGGGGCAGAAAAAAAATCAAGCAGTGGTGGCGCACACCTTTAACCCCAGCAGAGGCAGGTGGTTTGAGTTTGAGGCCAGTCTGGTCTACACAGTGAGTTCCAGGACAGGCTCTGAAGCTACACAGAAAAACCCTGTCTCAACCCTTGCCCCCAAAGATAATTCGTTAATTTAGTTAGGAACGAGCCTAAAGTAAAGCCAAGCTTTCATAATTAATAAGAAGTCTCCGTGTTATTTGAAAGATTCATTACAAACAATCCAGTAGTTCATTCCCATCATTTACAAAACTTCTCTACAGAACTGACAATACTGGTCAAAA